AGTTATATTCGTGATATAAGAAATAATCTCGGCCGACTTCGAAGACGTCGGCCGCCCAAACTATCGTTAATGATACTACTTGGTGAGGCCGACGTCTTCGAAGTCGGCCGAGATGATTTCTTATATCACGAACAATATTTGGGGCAGAGATTACTTGTTCCATAAAGTTGTTAATAGTAAAACAAACCCAACCCAACGCAACCCAACCCAACCCAACCCAAGTATTGTTCGTGACATAAGAAGTAATCTCGGCCGACTTCGAAGACGTCGGCCGCCCAAATTATCGTTAATGATACTACTTGGTGCGGCCGACGTCTTCGAAGTCGGCCGAGATGATTTCTTATATCACGAACAATATTTGGGGCGGCCGACTTCGAAGACGTCGGCCGAGATTACTTCTTATGTCACGAACAATACTTGGGTTGGGTTGGGTTGCGTTGGATTGGTTTTACTATTTACAACTTTATGGAACAAGTAATCTCGGCCGACTTCGAAGACGTTGGCCGCCCCAAGTTATATTCGTGATATAAGAAATAATCTCGGCTGATTTCGAAGACGTCGGCCGCCCAAACTATCGTTAATGATACAATTCTTTCATAAATTGTTCATGATATAAGAAATAATCTCGGCCGACTTCGAAGACGTCGGCCACACAAAGTTTTGTCCATGATACTTGAGGATCAACATTTTGTCATATCTCCAACAATAATCAAGATATCCGCTGCGACAACTAAAATCAAACACACTGTATATGTATAACCTTCATCATTTTATTTTACCTTGAAGTATCTAAAATATCAGATAACAATCTGTTTAAAAACTGTTATATTGATGCAAATTAATACAAATTTAAAACGCTCAAGGAACTATATTTATAAAATAAAAAAAATAGATGTAATTACTTAATAACTTACATGTAAACGTTTTAAGAGATTTGCATCTGTATTCGAGCCCATACTTTGTTTTGCGGCTTTCCAAAATTGTTTTTGTGCAGAATACCGATTTGCAGGACATATTTTAAATAAACAATCTATAAATGAATTAATGATATTTGAATAAAGTAAATGTAAAACTTTTGTTTTGTACCTCTAAATTTTTTTGGTGGTGTTGCTAAATCTCCTGCATCCGGGCAAACAACACACCGGTCATCGACTAACCCTAAAGTACTTAAAAACCCACTAACGTTCCCTTCTGCATAAAGGGAAACGATATCACCCATATGAAGTAAACTTGATGATCCCATCTCAACCATTTTTGAGGTTATAGTTGAGTTTTTTAATTTTTAGGTTAAAGATCAGGAAAACATGTTACTTTTCTCTCATTTGTCTAAAATAAATTAATATAAATTGTATAAAAAAATAAAAATATTAAAACTAGTTTTTTTTTCTTTTAATGGTTTTAAAGTAATTACAAAATAACTTACCTAGCACGGAGAGGTTATGATACCTTCCTGCTAGTTTCTATTTAGAATAAAAACTAAAAACGAGAATTTTCGTCGCGAATCACATGTAATACTGAGAATTTCCGTATAAAAACGATAAAATTCAGTAAATTTACATAAACAAGACCGAAGACGTACACGATACGCACAGCTTAGTTTCAAACCACATACATATTTGTGGATTCCTGCTATATTTTTGTTACCACCTTCTATCTTTTTCCTATTCATTAACAAACCCACCTTCTATCTTTGTCATTTTATTTTGAAAAATAATAGTGGGGAAAATTTAATCCTAATAGAATCCTGTATACGTCTCAATTAAGAAGCAACAATAAGATTGTTCCTTAAATTGAAGACTTCGTTAAACATTAATAAAAGAAGATAATTTTTAATTCTTCTTTTTTTTTAATATTAACACTCATTTTTATACGTTTTTTGGTGTATTTTTAATTAAAACAGTTTTCTTTTCTTTTTTTATATATTGAAAACTCTATGTTTTATCTCTTTCTTTGATTTATATTGTTATTAACATTCTAGTTTTACAAGTAGTTATTGCTTGAAGAAAGAAAGGTATATCTCGGTCGCTCTAAATGTTGTTTATGATAGTTTAAATTTTAAGTATTCGAAGTCGGCCGAGATTATTTCTTCGATAAAGTTGTTAATGGTATCACTTGGAATTCGGAGTATTAAACCATGCCTATCTTGCTTTAAATCCCTAGTGATACTATTAACAACTTTATATAATCTCGGCCGACTTCGAAGCCGTGGGAAATTTCTAGTTTTGACCCTATCATGAAGGAGCATGTCAAATTAGCAATGAAAGGTGCTTTAAACTTTAAATGAAAGGTGGAATTAGTGGATCCATTATAGTGGCAAAAATATACAAAATGAATTAATAGAATTTATTTCGCAAAGAATTCAAAGCATTTTGCCATAGCTGACTGTACTCCTGATATAAGCCATAAAGTTGTGATTACAAACATTAATTATACCGTGAAGTTTTCTTTAGTAATTAGTAATGGCATTTATAGCGTAAAGTTTTCTTTTGTAATGTCATTTATAGCGTGAAGGAATGTTGGGTAAGGTTAGTTTTGTTTACAAACATTAATTATACCGTGAAGTTTTCTTTAGTAATTAGTAACTGAGTGTAGAGTATCGATAAGCCAGAACTTTACTAGAAAATTTTTACAAAACTTCAAATTAGAGATCGACTCAAATCAAAATGAGACACCAGAATAGCTCTCTGGGTGGATAGAGTAACTAACAGAACAGTATTTTGGACATATTATGAGAAACAGAAAAAAATACCGCCTACAGAAGACTTCACACTCAAGAAAAAGAACTGGCTGGAAGTTCTTGAACATTCATTGAACTAAAATTGTCACGCATAATTTTTAGATAGCAAAGTATAATGTTAAAAACAATTAATTGGTGAATAAAAATAAAAAATTACTTACCTTGATAATAACTTATGATGCATCTGGGTAAAAAAAAATGTGTGATGAAAAAACTACCTTGAGACGTAATTTAGGATTTATATTTTATTGTATTGAGTTTTGTCAACATGGAAAAGTACAAATATTGCATTACACCGACTCTAGCCTGGAATCACAATACATTGTGTGTAATGTAGTACTGGTTTCGTCCCGCAATTACTTGTGCACGAGGAATTCGCCTCCCTTCGCCCTCATTGAACTTTCCCTTCGTTAAAAACGGTTCCGTAAAGAAAAACCGTTTCCCAGTACGATTGTGTACGTTTTCAATCGAGTTACTCGTTATCATTTTTTTTTTGTATATTTATTTTATTATTTCATTTTGTTTTTTTTCTTATTTCGTTTGGATCTGAAGACCGATAACTTGTTTCGCGTTTACCAGCAATTCAACACAGCCATTCTAAATAACGTAACCAAAACCGAACAAAACCGCCCGATTCATTTTTTCGAGCAATATTTTTCTCCGTAATGTTTCCGTCGCGATGTTGTTAAACGCCCTTCCATTTTTTTTTGTTTTTTTTAAATTTTTTCGTCGATATAGATATCGCGTCGATTTTCATTTTACTAGACGTACTCAACTAATGTTAATATATTAGGTTATGGTCTATTATATCTAAATATCAATTTATGATACAATAATAGGTACAGGTTACAAATGACAATTATTACACACAAATGCGGCATGTGACACTGGACAGTAAGCATAATTAATAAACGACAATTAACGCTGAGTATGGTTTTTTTATAAACTAAACTAAATAGAGATAAGAGATATAGAAGAGAGGAATAGTCCGGAAACACGGATACTTTCAATCGATTTAAGTCCAGCACACAAATTATTTTCTTTTCTTTTCATTTTTTTTGTTTCGTTATTTATTTATATTTTTTTGCATTCAACCTTTTTCTCCGTGTACAGGATACCCCAAAGACATCGATCATGGGGCGTCCCGTCTATTTCATTTTATTTTCTTAAATAGTTTTTTTTACATCAACCACGTCGCCGTTGACGAGATATTATCATTATTATTATTATTATTCAGCTGATGATGGGGACAAGGTGCACCGCTCCTTACTCTCGCTTATTTTTCGCTCAATTACTTAAATATTTTGCATCGATTTGGTTTTTTTTGCTGATATGTCGCTAACTTTTCACGTCCGAATTTTCGTCGGCTAAATGACGAAAACGCCTCAAATTTATTGAAATAAAGACGGTTGTGATGGTTATTTAGGTTGCGTTAAAAGATCCGCCGGAAGTACAGCTAAGTAACGATTTAATAATAAGTCGATTCTTCAACGCATGCGGAGTATTATTTTCACGTCCTGGAAAATGCGATTCGCAAGCGCGGAAGGATCTATTTGTATATCAGTCAGATCTTATTTTTTATTTATTTTTTTTCGTTGTGTAACGTTTGTCGTCATTCGGCCGATCGTTTTACATTCACCTTTTTTTTAATCCTAAAGCTAAAAACATACTGTTTATAAGACGTCTCTTATAATTAAAAGTTATTGCATGAAATAGTAATGAGGTACTGTACTCCTAATAATATAACCTCTGTACATTTTACATCTTAAGAACTTTTTTTTCTCATTTTTTTGCACTCGTTAATTAATAATAATAATAACCATTATCAAAACAGACTATATGAGAGCTTATATATGCAAAATTTTCTTATTTCATATAAATTTCGACATGCTTATATATATAATGGAAATAAACCATATGTGCACTTCATTCGATTAATTCACATGTGGTTCTATGTGTAATTATATATATAGATATATCTATGTTTTTTTATATATATTTATATAAAATCAGTGTTTTTTTTTAATAATGGAATGTTCCTTGTCACAACAATATTTGAGCTATGAGTCTAGACAGAACCGTCGAGACCATTAGAGCGAAATTTCTATTATCCATACGATTTGTTTTTTTTAAATGCGCATGTTCTAGAAATCGCGCTGTCTTTAACACAACAGCTACACACATAGAGAAAAATCAACTGACGTAACTATATCAATTTTCTTTATACATTTACGCTATAGGATCTACACAACACACAAAGATTTAAACTTTTTTTTCTTGTTAAATGTAGATAGTGATATACGTAATATCGTAAAATATAAGCACGAAGGTATGTTACGTTTTTTTTCTTTTAGATAATTAGAAACAAGCAAATGCTGACAGACATATACAATAATCGCTATATATATCTTCCTTTTTATATAAGATCGTTGTTCTGTATATTGGTTTAGTCTACACAAGTTTCAGTTTTTAGGCCAAATATTACATATAACCGAATAATCTTAAAACACAATTGCCGCTAGTTACATTTATATGTATACATTTATATATATATATATAGATCTTTTTTCTTTGTTCCTCATCTCTTTTTGTCTTACTTTGTGTACGACTGCATTTTATTTATTTATTACTTTCTTTAATTATTAATCAAATTAAAAAATCAACCCCAAACCTCGAGCTTCATCAAGATATCGTATTTACAAAGAAGTTTTAAACATTTGGAAGATAGCTTTTGTCAGCTACCACGGGCTCGTTTTAAATCTACAGCATTGTGAGTTAAAAGAAATCAAATTTTCATGAAATGTTACTCCTTTTTAAACGATTTCAAACGAAACTTCTACTTTGTGCCATTTTCTTAACTCTCTTGTGCGTGTTTCATTTCATTTTCTTTTTATTCATTTTCTGCTACTCATTCTTGGCTTCTTTTTATTGCAAAAGTTTCAAATGGAATTGTTTTCATTTGTATTCATGACCCCCCTTTTTTTCAATTATCATTAAACTATCTATAATATTTTTTTATAATATTATTGCGCACCGGAAACGACTTACTAAATTATTCAATAGAGTCGCTAATAATTATTAAGTTTTTTTCCCTTTCAATTTAATTATTAACGCTGAGATCACTTCTCGAATCATCACAATCAACCCCCAATGATTTACGGACATTGAGCGCGTTACCTATTATTATTATTATTATTATTAAATTGTAATCACAAACATTGCACCAGATTTTTCCAAAAAAAAACTTTTCAAATTTTTTTTTGTTCATATTTTTTATTTTTTTTTAATAACCATTTCCTTTTATTTGTCCGTTGATCTTTTACTACCTTTTTTTTTGAAATTTCGTTTTTTGCTTATTCATTTAAAAAATCGCGTTAAAAATCAATTATCAACATCTTGCTTTGAGCCAACATTCTTTAGGTCATTTAACATTCAACAAACAACCGTAACAATGTTCAATTACGTTGCAATAACAAAACGATAATTTTTTTTAATTAATTAAAACCACCGACCGATTATTATTCTTTATATTCAATTTATTTTTTAATTTTTTTATGTATTTATTTTTGTCTGTATTTATGCATTGTCCAACACTACATTGTTTATTATTTAGTGTTTAGGATATATTTGAGGTTCGTTTTATCCCTGATATGTGATGTTGCAACAAAAAAATTATAACAATGTTGTAATCAAAATTAACGTGCTTTAATTTAATGCATCACTAAAATTCGTGTACTATCTAATGATGAGGTAGACTCAACAATGATCAGAGTCATGAGAAATAATAATTTTTCGATCATATTTTCAAACGTTGGATGTTAAGTAACCACAGACAATGTTAAGTCTATAATTTTAGACTCAATCATTCTTAGTGTCATTCAATTACAAGGATAGACAGAGTAACAACTTTTCAAGGATCATTTGTGTACATCTAATTCAAGTTACATTGAAGCAAAGCTGTGATTTCATAGTTTTATCCAAATATTGCAATATCATAGAAACCAGTGCTTTTTACCAATGAGGTGCAGTATTTTTAAACCCTAGTGTACACTCAAGATCTTGTAAGAATCAAATCACTCTTAATTTTGATTCTTATGAATGAAAGCAACTTCTATTGGATATCCATGAATTAGCACTCCCATTCTTTTAAGTGTTCATACATATTACGATCAGATCGCGCTTTACAAAGTCTTATATGTTTTTGTCAAAATATGTAACGGAATAATTAAGAATTTCTCTACAGCTATGTTGTTTCATTCATAATTCACTCAGAAATTTACTTCTTATGAATGAAATCAACAAAACACTGGGTTTTTATAGATATTAATTAAGTCAAAGATCTCATCAATAACAGTGATGAATAGAATGATTGATAAATAGATTTAAATTTAATCCGTGTTAATAATTGTGCTAAATTACTCCTTTTTTCTCGTTCGATTTTGGTATTGAATATAATCGGTCGATAATTTTAATTACCTTAGCCTACGAAATTGTGCGTTTTCTTACTAACATTTTAAGTAATCGTTTTGTTTTAGAAAAAAAGAAATTGCAACGTTTTTGAAACGTGTTATCTCGGGTTGGGTCATAAATGGAGTAAAATTTCGTTGTTTCAATGCTGTTTTTAACAATATATTTTTTTTCGATTTATTTTTTGTTTTCAGTCGGGGGCAAGTCGTACAGGGCAGCTCGTGGTAGAATAGTGGTGAAATCATATTCTTAATTTAATTAATTCTTAGTTCGCTATGTTCGTTTCTCTTATTTATTCTATGTACACTGCGTTTTTTGTTTATAGCGTTCTGTGCGCTTTTACAAACACTAACCAACCAACCAACCAGTTGAATACTCATTAATATTTCTTATCTCTTATTCGCAAGGTACTAGTGTTTCCATTTTTTTGTATTTATAAAAATAATAGATACGGTCCGTTGGAACTCGATGGAACGAGTTTTTGGATTATTTTATTTCTCTCAAATGTAGACAAACACTTGGGATGTAAGGATAGTGTGTATAAAGATACGAAAACAAAATAACAACAGAAATCATAAATTATTAATTAATAATATAATTAATGTTCAGAGAAAAAATATAATTGTTAATGGTAGTAACTTATGTTTCTTTTTTTCTACAAATAAATAAAACAACCAAAACTAAACCTGTCGATAAGCAAAAATACAAAATAAATAGAACGTAAAGAGAGAATTAATTAATTAATTAATTTCATTAATTGTTTAAAAGGTAAAACCTAAAAAAAAAGAAAAGAACTAAACAATAATGGTACTAAACTAAAAAGAAAATACTCTCGCAATAAAGGTAAGTCAGCTTAAACCGAAAAAAAAAATGTTATAAGGAATGGGGGGAAAATTCATTAATTAACAGAAGAAAAAAGAAAATAAAATTAAATAAATTCGGGACAATTAATTATTACCGTGGACATACAGGGTGGTTCACATTAAAAATTCCCGTTTCAATTCAAAATGTATGTACATCACATCTAAAAAAAAACCATCATTATATTTAATCAACCTAGTTAATTAATCTTAGCTTATTTAAATTTAATTAACTATTTTAATTAACGTCGATCATACGCGTTCCTTTTCGGAAATTCTATACTCATCATTAATTTATTTAAATTCATTATTAAAAGACAATCAACAATCATGGTTTAATCGGAAAAGAATTCTATTTTAACGGAGAGATCCGGTGAACATTGCTTTGTTAACAACAATTGCTTCGATCACTAAGTAATATTTCTGTCGACTAGTTTATTGCACAAGGGTTCCTCTCCTTCATAAGATATTCATATAAGACATTCATATAAGATATTTATTTATTTAATATAGATTTCACCCAAACAGATCTCACCCTTCCTTCAGATCTAATTTTATTTTTAATATTTTTGCATCGCAGCTTCGCACACTTATCACAGTGGTCAAAAAAATTGTTTTTATTCGAACAAGTGATCCACCCTGTATACGAGTAGGGATCTCGTTTTTCTTTTGTATATCGTTTCGTTTCAATTTTATTTATATATGTATATATATATATAATTTTTTTTTTGTTTTAATATGCATTATGTACCTGGATGGCGACTTTCCTTTTCCACAAAAACTAACGGTGTTAATTAACTATTATAATTCGTGACTATTTTATAAAAAAAAGAAAGAAAAAAATTATTAAAACACAAAACACACATAGTAAAAACGGGACTAATAAATTCTTTCCTTATTTATCTTCTCCTTCCATTTTTAATTTTTTTTTGTTTCTTATATGATTTTATACACGGTGTGCTTTAGCAACGCCGCAAAACCCCTTAATTTGTGTTTAAGGGTCCAGAAAAATTGGTACCAGTTTTTCTAACACGAGGGAGAAGTACAATTAGTTGATGGACAGGCGTTGCGTATTTTACACGACTAGTTTCTTTTTTTCCATACACAATTATATAATTAATAATAATTAATAATGATAATTATGACCGAATATATGCATAAGACACAAGACTACAGATAAATACATAATGATTAAACCGATTTTCTTTCTTTTTTTTCTTTTCGTTTTTAACAGTGCAGTTAAAAATTATTAATTGAAGAAATTTTTAAAGACTTGGTTAACAATGTCAACCATGTTTTAATATAAAATAAATAAAACGTATTTTCTTTTTAACTAAACATATATTTTTGGTCTTTACGTGTTTGTAAGATTGGTCATTTTAAAAATTAAAACTGTGTGAGAATTGAAAGAATTTATTAATAATTTTAAAGTGCACTGAAATTCCCGTAAAAAAAGCGTTATCGAGATAAATGATTGAATTACGATTAAATGAATTTAACCTCTACACAAATATAATGATAATAATAATTCACTACGCGTATGTATTCGTTTTGCATCCATATTTCTCCGATTTTTTTTCTGACGATTCTATATTATTTAATATTTAAATGTTTGTGTATATATATATAATATATATATTTTTTTGTAAATATGATTTTTTTCTTATATCATTTGCCTTAACGATGGCACAATTAATCAGATAATAAAGATGTTATTATTTACTAGGTAATAATAGTTTCTTCTTTTTTAATAGGAAATGCAAAATGCACCTCTGACTAGTTCCGTATGTTATGTATAAGTACTAATAATGAATTTGTCGCCCGGGTCTTGAAACCCCGGCTACAAAGTTTTTTTTACGATCAGACAAACTGTGACAGACTGTTGTGTGTCGTCGGCCAGCCGCAGACTGTCGCACGCCGCCGTATTAAATATACCTTAACCATTTTACACCGACGTTTTTATATATGTTTTAAATCATATATATAATTATATTTATAAATTATATATATACTTTATATATACTTTTTTTAATTAATAATACTAGCAAAGAATAAATACTAGGTTGCCGGCGGCGTGCGCAGCTTGCGGCGGCCCTCAAGCGGCCAGTTGGTTCTGAGCACCACCGGCCACTTCGCTCTATGTCGTCTTGCTTTTGTTCGTTTTGAAGCTGACCTGCAGCACGCGATTTCCAAGCGTGTAACCGTTCAACGATTGAATGGCGACAACAGCTTCCTCGTAGTTGGTCATGGTCACAAAGCCGAAACCCTTGCACTTGTTCGTCTGCAGGTCCCTGATCACCTTCACGCTTTGCACGGCCCCAAATGGACCAAATAGCTGCCACAGCACGTTTTCCTCCGTTTCCGGCGCCAAATTATACACGAATATGCACCAGCCCGAGCTGTTCATTGCGTTACCCGGTAAAATTGAATTCGCCAGTAACTCTCCGGCCAGCGGAGAATATCTGCAACAAGCAAAAAAGAAAACATTTCTTTTTTTTCTCTCAAACAAATCTTATCATAAATTATCCCTAAATAATTAATCACCCATCTCCTTGTTACCATAAAAAAATCTTTGTATACATACCTTAATTACATATTTTTATAAATTTTTAATCAAAAAAGACAAAATTATCGTGGTTTCCCTCCAAAAAGAATTTTTTAAATACCTACCTTTCCTTCAACGTTTAACTTCATTTATTATTTTTATTTAGAAATCAAATATATACAATAAAAACTCGCAAAGTGCCACTTCGAATTTTAGATTAACTCGAGATAAATTAAAATTATTTAATCATAACAAAAAAAAAATGAGTTAATCTAAAAAACTCGACGAGCGACACTTTTTTCTTATTAAATATATATGACACTAAAGAATATAATAAAGAAATAATAAATAAAATCCAAATAAAAAGCGAAATAAGGAACCATATAACGATCAGGAAAGTCAAATCAAAAAATAATAAAATAATAAAACATCAAAAACGTAAAACCATAACGAAAAATAACTAAATAAAGAGAATCATTTTTATGGCATTTTAATGTTGATATATCTTCTTTGGGTTATTATTTTTTTTTCAATATTATTTTTGTAACCTTAATACTATCTTTAATCCTTAATATTATCCTATTTTTATTGAAACATGAAATGAAGATGTAGAACCACCAATGATGATTGTGAAAAAGGGGGAAAGTAGAAATAATAAAACGAAATCAAATAAAAGCTGTCCAAGAAAAAGTGATCATCACGAATAAAAAAAATCCCTGAGTCGCTGTTAAACCCGTTTACTTATTCTTGCTATTGTTGCTATTCTTGCTTTTATATGTTCCTTGGTACGATCGGATTTATTAAAAAATCACAATTGTTATTTCTTAAAGTAAAATATATTTAACAAAAAGTTCTTCTATTGTTACATATTGTTTATGTCAATTGTTAAAATATAACGTATATTCATTATCATTATTTATTTTTTTATAAAATAGATTAACATATTTTATGTTTGGCAATGACGTGACGGCATATTAACCTTACTGGTGTCCAAAATGGTGTCTGTATGGATAATTCCAGTAGGACGATTGATGTTGATAACTACAAGAAATAATATTTTTTATGATTTTCGATTCTAAGTGATCAAAGCGGCATGTTAGCAGCCACTTTAATCGTTATTGTAATTTTTTGATGATGAATGTCGATTTTTTTTCGGTCATCGAATGTATGCAGAAGATGTTAAAACGTGAATGTTTTTATTTAATCATAGGTAATTCAAATAAAATTAGTGATTGGGTTATATTTTAATTTTTTAAGTTGAATTGCAGAATGCAGTGTGATTCACTGCACACATTCGTCGTCCGAAATGAAAATATTGGTGTTAGTATGCCATAGTTTTACTCGGGATTAGTACATATTCTACTTTGCGATATCTCTATAGATCGTAGGTAACTAAAAAAATATCAGTAATCACCTCCTACTTTGGTGTTAGTAACGAATTTTAAAAAGGACAAATAATAACCAAGGAAGATAATCTCGCCTGTTTGTACGTTTTTTTAAACAAAACATATTTCCAGTTAGAAACAACAGATAGCAAGAAGAAGAAACGAATGTAATAAAAATTTTTTTCTCATTTGAAAGTTTTCGTCGTTTTTCCTCTGATGTACGCATGCAACATGCAGGTTTTTTTAATTATTTTAGTGGTTGGTAACCCCGTTTGTATCGGGCTTTTTTTTATTTCGAAATAAATTTGAAATAACAAAGGAGGCACATAGAAAAATAAAACATTAATTAATAAGAATTAAACAAAACAGATAATAGTAAATACAGTGTGAACCGAAAAAACGGAATCGAAATTTTCAAGAAAAAGTTTAATTTTATTACCTGCTATGTTGTACGCCACTGGGAAGCAAAATGCAAAACGACAATATTAATTTGTAACAGGGTCTTGATAGGACAACTTAAAAACTCACAATCATTCCAAACTTAACCCTCGGAAAATTAAATATCTCCAAGACTTCAAGGAGTCTCAGACTTACGAAAAAAAAAAAGAAAAAAATGTTGCGAAACTAAACGTAACGCAAAATTAAAATCGCGAACCGTGATAATAAAATAAAATTAAAAAAAAAACATATAAGAGGAGGTTCCCTTTCGCGTTAACATTCGGATTTTCACTACTATAACAAATAAATATAGTTAATTAATTTTTTTTGACTAATTTTATCCGAATGTTAAGCACATGTACTAATAACAAGTCTAATAACAAAGGAATAATAAACAAATTGGTTTTAATGAAAGAAGAGAGAAAGCAGGTATTTGATATGTGATTATAAACTTACCTAAAACGGCCTGTAGGATGATGAATAGGTCCAGCAAAACGCCTAGTGGCTTGAGGAGTCAAATAAGCAGCTAATGGTGGGATGGCTTTGTTGTTGTTGCTTGGGTTATTGGCAAATTTAACCGTTATAGGTTCAGTGGAACCTTTAGGTATAGTTCCGTTGAGCTCTTGTATAGCGCGTTCCGCTTCCAATCGTTGATCAAAACGAATAAAACCGACTCCTTTTGATAAACCTGCGGGATAAGAACGCAACAGTGTTTAAATTAAAAAAAATTGTTTAATCTAAATGACCCACTGATTTATAGAAAAAAATTTTTTGGTTTATTATATTATATTAATACTAAGAGTAAAATAAGAAAGTTATCTTTTCGGTATTTAAAAAGATAGTTGTGTTTCCAACCGTTTTATAAAACCTTCCACAAGACAAAAGCAGGCCCATTAAAAAAAATAAATAAATATATAGTCAAAGTCTTCGTCTATGTTCAATATATTTGTATAATAAAACAGAGCGATTAATAATAAAATGTAAATCGGAACGAAAAATAGCAAAAAAATTCAACATGCCACGATGCGAAAGAACAAAAACGACAAACAAAAGTACGAAATTATAAGAAACAACAAAGAAATGTATATATAATATATAAAAAAGAAAATATCTAGTAGTTGTTCGTCATTTGCGATGGGGGGTGCATCGTTTTTCACTGACATGTTTTTCGGCGGTTTCCCAAACTCACCCAGAGCTTGAGAAAACGTTTCCGGTAACTTTTTTGTTATTATTCGCATTAACAATTATTTATTTTCATTTTAATTCTAGTGAAAGTCTGTGGCAAGGTATTCTTTTTTTTTCAGTGGGAAAAGGGAGTGTAATTTAATTTTTTTTTAGGTTCTTAAAGAGAGAGAGAGGGTAAGTACGTACCAGACATATTTTCTCCAGCCCCCGAGACAAACTGACGTACTGGGGAAAAAAAAATAACTCAAAATAGAGGAACAGTAAAGATACAGTAAATAAATGGTAACTTATAAATGGAAAAAATGGTCAAAAAATAAATAAAAACCGCAACTGAGCTTAGTTAAAAAGAAATTACAACAAAGCGAAAAAAAAATCACGTCTGTCTATACATATATATGTATTAAAAATGTGTCACTCTGTATCGTCGATATCACTAATCCAAAAAAAAATTAAAATTAAAAACAAAAACTAGCTTACCGGTTATGTTGTCGCACAATATCCTCGAAGTGATGATTCTTCCATATGGACTAAACAGGGCCTCGAGATCCTGTTGGGTCATATTCTTCGGTAACCCGGAAACGTATAAGTTGGCCCCTTTGATAGCTTCCGAACTCGGCCTCGCGTATGATACCTAACGAAACGAAATAAAAAAAAACCAAAACATTAAAAATCATCACATCGTTGAATCAATTTTCTCACCTTGATGGTCTTATTTTGAAGACGGAGTCCGTTTAATGTGTTTATGGCCTTCTCGGCGTCTTCGGGTCGGTGATAATTTACGAATCCATAGCCTAGGCTTTGCCCTGTAACCAATGGACTACTCAAAACTCCGTCCGGAACTGCAGAAGAAGTACGAAATGATAAGGAACATAAGGGAGGTGTCAATTGTATCTGGTGGCTCTAAGTTATGTTACATTCACAAAGACACATCTTTTTTAAATCTCATTTGGTTTTCAACCAATCTTATTCCTACACAATCTTACTGAAAATTTTAAATTAGGTTGGATTTATAAATAAATTTAAATAAATACGTCAACTATAAATAGAGAGAAATTTATAAAACATTTTTTAATTTAGAATAATATTTAAAATAAGAACATTTTAACCAACTCAGATTTTCTATTAATACACCCAAGGAATTAGTTCCGCTATTTTATAAAAGATGCCAACAAACTGGCAAAAAAATTTTCAGGATTTGGTAGTCCATTCTAAAGTTTCCACCAATCCCAACAAAAAAATCTACAATACAAAAAAAAATAAGTTTGGTTGAAATCCAAACAAAACACCATTTTCGTGAGAAGTCTTTGCCACAAAAATAATGAATCGAAATAAACAAAGAAAATACAAACAGAACATAACCGAAAGTATGGATACAAAAAACAGAAATAATAAGATGAGAATAGACGAAAAACGATTCCATCATAAACAAACTCACCTGTCACTTTGTCCCTAATAAGTTTGCAACTTTCAACTTCACCTATAGATGAGAATAGCGATCGGATTTCTTCTTGGGTCATGGTTTGGGGTAGGTAGTTGACGATGAGGTTGGTCTTTGACTCTTCCTGGCCGCCACCTTGGCCGCCATTCCCGCCGTTCTGTTGTCCAACAACTGCACCATCTAACCCATTGGACATCATCTCGATGGTCTCCGCTTTTAAGATTATAGTATTAATGATGAAAGACTGAAAAGATTAAAACAAAATTAATTATACATAAAAAATGTTTTATAATAATACATGTTTATATATTCTGGTTACGAATAATAAAAAAAGAAACATAAATAAACAAGATAGAACATGTGTGAAATAGTTTGTTTTTGTTTCTATCAAATTCATCAGAAATTAATAATTTAAAGTATTCCATAGCAACGTGGAGGAAACTCAATCCAACTCAAATACAATTAATTAAACTTTATTATATAATTAAATTTATTTTATAAAGCTGTAACCATAGCAATAATTAGCTTTTACAATTTAGTGTTAGAGTTACTGCTCTAAAATGAATAAAATGAGACTTAAACTAAAATTAATAAAATAGAGAAAGATACGGCAAAAGACGATTCAAACCAAAAATTAAATATTATTTAAAAAAAAAGTTTGTAAAATCCCACAAAAATAAAATAATATAATAAAAATAATAAATAAATGTGTAATAATATAATAAATTGTATTGTACTGTTTGATATTGACCCAATTTTCCACGATTAATACTAAAAATAGACGAATGACACGAATTTTAGATCCTGGTTCTTCAAAAATACTAAAGTTAGTATTTGATTGATATGAACGGAAGCGATAGACAACATGTATGTATTAGAGATATTAAAATCAATACATATTAATTACCAGGAAATTATATTATCACTATAAAATTTCTATGTAATCTTTCCAAAATGGACGCTTATCATGCGTATTAAATTGTATCCTTAAGCAAAAGTATCTTAATCGCTTGCAAAAAGAATAGACTTCAACCGATCGTTCAATCAATTTTACAATCGCCGTGATCGTTATCAAGATGATACCCATCGATTTTTTGGTGGAGGCGAATTGGCACTTAGTCAGAAGGGGATATGGACCAAGTTACTAATTCAAATTAATGGACGATGAAGAGATTGGAAAATCACTTCTTGATGCAGATTTTGACCGACCGAGATGGTACAAATGTAAGTAAATAAATAAAAACTACAATTAGGACCGTGAAAAACAAATTTAAGAGGTAATGTGCGAGTGGTGTCTATCAATATGAGAAGGGGAGTTGCGTTATCTCCCCTCAACCGAGGTCGTCGTCACCCATTTATTAAAAAAAAAGTGTAATACAAAAATAAAATGACCAAGATTTCAGTTTACGAAAGAAGTAAGCTTGTTAAGTTAATTGTAAGCCTTGAGTTAGATTCTATTGATGAAAAGGATTTACCATCAAATCATCTAGCGGTAAAACATTGATTTGTGAAACCCGTTAATCGCACGTGCGAAATAAACCTCGATGTTATCCCTAGTTAATCGATAGTAAGGTTGGATTGGGTTGGAAGAATGAAAAATTAAATCGTAGATGAATTGAAAAATTGTAGAAGTTATTATTACTTAAGGCAAACTATTTAGACACTTAATTTTAAATTAAAATCAAAATGACTCAGTGTCTGGTTATTGCAATATATCTCCGCATCCGGTTACCAACCGTTGAGGGGTAGTAGGTAGAGTCGGGTTGTATTCATGAAAACGATATCTTCCTATATCATGGTTTTTGGCATTGAGGGTTGTATCAGACACTTTTCAAATATATAGTAGGGTTGGGTTAGGTTGGGGGTGTGCTATTAAAACGAATAAGGTATAGATATCTGCTTTGACTTGCGGAATAAAAAGTTAAATGGTTTTAATTTTTAATTAATATATATTATTAGTATGGCCGGATATTCCTACCTGCGACAATTTAGGTTCGATATTAAATTTGGTATAGTATTGGAGATTCGAGTTAGGCCTTAGGTTTGTGTATCACATTGAAATCGACCCAGTTTTTAGTTATTGCCTATAATAAAGTTGAAAAATATAACATTATAAATCAAATAGCAGAACAAATACAAAACTAAATTATAGTACAGATCTCTGTCAATATCACTATAGCATCTATGAAGGAAAAAAAAATTTGGAATAAGCTAAGTCGCTAAGACTGAGAATAACACTTTTGTAAACACCACAGCTGTGCCGAAAACACTAGTGAGAAACCAGATACAGAGCAGTTCATGGGATATCGAATTAAATGCTAAATAATGTGGTGGAGCGCACTACTCATCGAGATAGAGGAGTTATTCAACAAAATAAAACATACAAAAAGTGTACCAACCGAATGGAAAGAAAGCACAACAATACTAGTATTCAAAAAGTAATACTGAATAACTAGTTGCAAAGATTCCCGAGGAAGAAATTTCCGCTTCCTACATCTGTGAGGAGAGCAAGAAAAATAGGTCAACTATTCACTATACAACAAACACCGTTACAAAATGGCAGTACACAACAAGTCTATAGAACAAAATAGCCCTAAACAGGATACATTTTTTATTATGAACAGTGTCCATAAATTCGATCAACTTTTAGTTAGCTACAAAATACATCGTTAAAGCAAAAAATGTACTTTGTTGTACTAAGTTGGGTTGAGTTGTTATTTCTGGCAATTAAGAGTGGTTGAAACGGGTAAGATCGTGGGCAGATAAAAACATTGACTTATACAATAAAATTAAGGTTGTATAAGAAAAATTTTAGTTTAGAAAAATATTGTTCGTTATAACTTTATCGTTATGACAAATATAACAAAAATAAAGGTTTGTAACAACGGTTTGTAAGCTGAGGTTCATTGTGGGTCAACTAACAAATAAAAACTAATAAGAAATATACGTTGAACAGATTCATAACTTACTACCAGAAGCAATTTGAGGGAGTTGGCATTAATCGAAATGTAAGAAGAATTTTGGATGTATGTACCAGAAATTAAATACAAATTCATTACCTTATTGTAAAAATTATCAAAATAAATACAATGACTCAAAAAAATTGTTTTATTTTTATACCAAAACCCAGAGGTTCTCAATATTTTCAGGTAGATAAATATAAGCATGTTTTGGTTCACTTCTAGTACTTGTTTCAACTCGGCGCATACATATAGTATGCAATAGGCGTGTTTTGGTTCAAGAATTTTGTAGTTCTGAACTGGTCATATTGCATATTATATATATATAATATGCGCTTATAGTTCTTATTCCAAAAAGTCTGGCAACCCCTAGTTTATAACATTGAAATTAGAAATGTCCTGGCTACAAATCCAACATGATTAAGGTATTTTCAGATTTGGGTTTCTGTAAAAATGTAAAGATAAATTGAAATAATTTGATTTTCCCAAAAGAGGTGGTGTTAAAACTCTGCGAATGATGTCAAATACATGCTCTAGTAAAGGTTAAGTAAGAAAATGAGAAAAATTAAGTTGGGTTGAGTTGTTGTTTCTGGAATTTAAGGGTGGTTGAAACGGGTAAGATCGTGGGCAGATAAAAACATTGACTTATACAATAAAATTAAGGCTTGAATAAGAAAATTTTAATTTAGAAAAACATTTTTTGTTATAATTTTATCATTATGACAAAAAGAGAGAGGTTCATGAGGTTCATTGTGGCTCAACTAACAAATAAAAACTAATAAGAAATATATGTTGAACACATTCATGAAGAATTTTAGCACTTGTTTCAGCTTCGCGCATACATATAGTATGCAATAGGTGCTTTGGTTCAAGAATTCTGTAGTTCCGACCAGTTCTGAATCTTTTTGCGCATAATAGGCCTGTTTTGGTTCAAAATGTAGTTCTGAACTGGTCATATTGCATGTTATAAGTATGCGCTGGTTCTTATTCCAAAAAGTCATGTCAATGAGAAATGTGCCTGTTACAAATCCAACATGATTAAGGTATTTTCAGATTTGGGTTTCTGTAAAAATGTGAAGATAAATTGAAATAATTTGATTTCTCCAAAATGGCCGCTTGAATATATGTTGAAGTATTTCCCAAAAATGTTATTAAGGTCGAAGATATTGGATTAATATGAAGTCTGGCCAAAGAGAAGTAAATGTTGTATGATATTATTATAAGTATATACTTACTACAAGAATGAAATCTGGACTCACTGAAAGTTAAAACCGTACTAAAGGTTTATAGCTTAGGTGGTGTTAAAACTCTGCGAATGATTGATTGGTTATTGTTTCGATAGGCAACAAAGAATATGTAGTTAAGTTGTATAGGTTTAGATTACAACTAGATTACATATACTGTAATGAAAGTAATTTTTGAATAAAATAGTTGAGACGTTTTAAATGGAATGATAGTGAATGACTACGTAGTATTAGTGAATATAAACGAGAGGCCGAAAAACGGGTGTAAAAAACATAACTTCCGCGACATTAATATGAAATTCTGTATATTTTTAGTAGCTGTGGCTATTTTTGGAGTGGAAGTATACACAATCCCACAAAATCTCGTTAGATATGCACGAAGTAATAGACTATCGGCGTTCCATCGAAAAATCTACATCGTTCGGTAGAGAGATCTAAATTTAAAACGGGTCGCACGCGAATCGGTCGAAAAGTGGTTGGTCACCCCATTTCGACCTATTTCCGTGCGGCGCACGTGGCTTTTAAGAGCACGAACGCGGAAAAACTTGCAGACTAACAGACGTTACGCTTACGCACGTTTTTGAGGTTATGTTGTATTAAAAAGAAAAAAATGAGGAACGATCGATCGTTAAAGAAATATGGCAACATCGCGTTATTCTATATTCTATGGGTTTCGTTAGGAAATGAAAAGAAGGATCGTTTATGGTTAATTGGAAAATGTGTTAAGATAAAAGAGTGTTTAAGAAGAGGAAGAGTGACGGAGGTGGGAAAAAAATCGAGCGCGCAACGAAAAGAATGCGAGACAAACTGTGACGCTGGTAGCGTGGTGACATGACATTTTTACCAATAGAAAACTAACCTAACGCGAGGCTGTCAAAATCCGTTTGGCATAAACGTCACTGCGGTTACGAACACACACGAAAAAATCACACTTTTTACTAAAAGCAGAAAAAAATGAACTAAAAACAAAACGGAACAGAAAAAAAAAGAAAATAAAACAAAAGCGGCGAGGTCGCGAACCGCTCCGAAAGCAACCCGAACTCGCACTGTTTTAAAAACATTTAAAATTACCGTGCGACCCAGACTCATGCGCAGTCATAACCTCACTTTAACGATATCGATTCAAGTTAGCGTCGGTTTGGTTTTTAAACAACTTCGTGGCTTTTTCCTTTTTTTTATACTACACCCTACCGCTTTTACTCCGCGTTATCGATTTTTTCACAAATCTATTATTAAAACAACAACGACGCGAAGCGTAGTAGCGTCCCTTTTTTCCCCACGTCGTCAACTCTCAAACTCAACGTTACATAAACGCCACACGCGCTCCCTCTATCTATCTCACTTACTCTTCCCAAAAAAGGGCCAAAAATTCAATCAAACAACAAGAACAACCGTATACGTACAGTCAAAACTACCTACGCCAATGTCCGGTTCCCGGTTCCCTCTCTCGCCCCAAAAACGAAACGCGATTCCCCTTCACCCCACGTCACCTCGTCTCATATAATAAATGGATAATTTATTATAATTTCAAAGGAGGGTGCCAGACAAACAGCTGATGCCGAGCGTAAAAGATAAAAGGGGGCGACCGGATTCTCCCCTCGTCCTCGAAGGGCGTTCACCCCATCGAAAAACTAAGGCCCGTGGCCCTGTTTCATCGCCAACTATATTTTGGAAGCCAAACTTATAAAACTCACTATATCACGATATATATAGTTCCAAAAAAATACACATTCATCTAAATATAAAATTTCGTACAGAATATAAAATCCACATCTAAAAATACCTTTACATCAAATTATTACAAAAATTAATTAACAAAAAAAAATTTCTTCCTAACCTAAAACATAAAAGACCCCGATCGAACGTCTCGCCCCGTACAGGGGTCGTGTTATTGATCCGGAGGTGGTAGAGGAGAAAGACGAGGCGTCTCCCCCATTTCGAATGCAACCCACGCTTGGGGAATAAGTGACGTTTTATGTTTCGGGGATTTTCATTTAAAAATCATTAATTTGTTTTTAATCAACAAAAAAAAATTTCAATTAATATTAATAAAAACATTTTTTACAATTCATTTCATTTCGTTAATAAGAAATTAAAAAAAAAAAAATGTTAATAATTGAAAATTTGATTTTGTAACAAAAAAAAAATGAAAAAGTTCTTGATGTGGGGGAGTTAATTCTGTAAAATTTTAGACAAGTTCGAAAGGGGTCGCTGGTGTTATCGTGGGTAGGGTGGCTTTATTGATCGAATGGCACCTCCCTGTTCTCAAATGCAGTCCACCCCTCCGAGGTTTACACGGAATGATATTTATTTTTGGTTTTGAATTTGGTAGCTTTGCAATTTAAAAAAATTCGAAATCAATTATTTTTGGAACTCACCCTTTTTTCGAAGGTTCCTTCGCCGATTGAGGAAAAATTAACTGAAGAAGTCTTCGGGAACGGTGACACGTTAGAACTGCTTTAGTTTCGCTGAGGGGTTATGCCAGAGGGTTTGACTCGGTTCAAAGGACGAGACTCTTGGTGATTCGAAAGGTGGGAAACAAAACGAAACCAAATTGCACGTATTTACTGGGTTGTTTATAAAAAGACAAACTTCAACGATAAGTACCAAGCAACTTAGTACAACAATCTTGGGTCTCCGTGTGGTGTTTTCTTATTTTTTCCTTATTTTTTTTCCTTAGGTTTTCTTTTTTACTTTCGGTTTAGAACTGATTTTTAAAGAACGTCAATTAAATACTTTAAATAATTTATATATTTATACTATTTATTAAATATACTATATTAGTAGGAATTATTAGTAATAATTATGCAAGGAATTATATTATTACATAACGTACACTACCAAACGTAACACAAGTGTTATTCAGAGAGTGCAGTAACTAAATGGTGTTGGTTCAGACTACGGCTCTAATCCAGGGGTGAGTTTGCATCGGGTCGATATCCGACGCATGCGTGAAACCCTGCCCGGGCCACAACCACCTATTTACTACCCCCCATTCATGTAACGTTTCCTACAGATCTTCACCATCAACCCTCGGCCCTTTGCTCCTAGGATCTCCACCTGCACGTGCATCCAAAAAAAGAAGCCCCATTGTTCCGCACACAAAGTCAAAAATCACTAATTCTCAGTCGAATTGCATACACACAAATTCTACTTTTTCAAAATTATAAAGCAATCTGTGGCACGCGCCTAATACTTTAATACTTTAGTAGGGCAGAAAAAAAAAACTCTAATTCTTCAACAAGTATTGATCAAAATAAACTTTTTATATTCATTCATGCATAAATTGCATAAATTCAATTTTTTTAAGTTTCTAAGATTGTCTACAAATATCCGGGTTTTTGGTGGACCAGAAGTCGTTCGCTCCATAGAGCTTGAAACCCAGTTGCCCAGGATCGTAATGACGTCATTGCAGAGGAGAGACGACGCCTTCTACGTGCACCGTAAACATGCGCGCAACCGTCTGCATCCCAGGAATTGTGCCCTAAATGGTCGATAAACTAAATATTTCTTTGAACGAATGTTACGGTCATAATCAGGTTTAACACCTTCAAAACACAATTAAACTACTAGGTGCCTTTTGTTACCTCGTTTATTGCTCAACGTGTGTAACATTCTTTTATAAGCCACTTTGCCGTCGACGAAGAGATTTATTACTTATTATTACTTAACGAGTACATGGTTTTATTTCAAAAAAACATTTTTATTAGTCGCACGTTATATTGAAGCTAGAGTATTTATTGATTTTCTTACTGAAATGATTAGTTCAATCCCTCCCCCTTAAAAAAAAGGGTGCAACCCCCTGTGTCAGATGAAACAGGGTGATATGAGCTTTCTTTGCATATTAAATAACGTCCAATGACGTAACTAATAAATTTGTATTTCATAATTTTGTAGGTTATAGAATTAATTTATTGATCAAACTAGAAATATGTCACAGTTTGTAAACAACCTAAGTCCAGTCAGAGCATCTTATACTCGGAGTTAATTTTTAATAAGAAAATGGGTGATTTTGGAGAAGGTAAATAAGTAGTAAACAAAAATAATTAAAGTCATCAATGGCACTTGAAACTCGTAATTGGCAAAACATGCGATTGCATTCTCGACGCTTTTGGCGTTACTCGTTGATGTATCGGTGCGAAGAATGTGTTTTTGGCATGTACACACATGCCAAAGCTATGCCGAACGCTGATCTTTAACCCAAATGAATGCCTCCTATCAAAAAGGCAAACCTTTAACCTTCATAACTTAAAAAAAAATATTAATAACAAATTTTGGGTTTTTTATCACACCGATAAGTTTCCGTTTGGTGGAAATAATTATAAAAGTGACCACCATATGGTTTCAGGAAAAGACACACGTGGTGTTATTGAAAGAAAAAAAACACATGTCCCGGTTTTGGTATTAATTAACATAGAGTTACACGCGATTGTTAAAAATGGGTTATTACACGGCGCTGTTAACCCTCCTTTTTTTGACCATCCAACTGAAACAGCTAAATATTAACAAAAAATCTTACTCTTTAAGTTTCGACGAAGGGGGTCATCCTTTCAAAACGATCTCGAAACAACCCCTATTTTCAATCTCGTCAAAAAAGTGATGAATATTTTTTCTTTGTGCTACAAAATGGAGGAAAAGTAATTAAATTTTTCTTGCACACGATTTCAACCCCTTTTTTTAAGTAGACTGGAAGGGGTTCAACCCCTTGTTTGAAACATCTGCGCATATCTAATCAAGTTGTATCCTAAAATGACACTACTGACATGTTTTAGTTGTCTTAGTTGAATTAAAAAATTTATTAATTAATAAAATCATCATAACGTTGCAAGCATTGATGAAGCAGTCTTGACGATTTTTGGCCAAATCATTAATTATCACTTGTAATATATAAATAGTATTCCACAAGACGTATTTGATATCTATGTATAGAATAAACGGTTGAAGTTCCTCTTACGTACTGGTTCCTAATTGCACTTCAACATCATTGTTTGGCACGGTTCGCGTGTTTAAACAAGTTTCGCAACTGACAATTACGTTGGGTGAAAAACATGTGAAAGGTTTAGTTTTCGTGCAAACTGATCCATTCGGATAACAGTCGTAAATCCGGCAAAACGAAACGGTTTCGTACTTGCGTGTGCAAGTGTCAGAGTCGGCATCATCATGTGCGATCCCCTCGATCATACCAGTATATATCAAAGAGCTATAGAAGGTTAAAAAAATTATTGTTGCAAAAATTTATTTATAATTTATTTAAAAAGTTATCCTTTTTTTATTAATTTTCGTAGATAGCGATGAAAGTGATGGCGAAGGATGTTTGGGAAATGTTAATAGAGTCATTATGAGACCGCCTGGACATAGCGGGAAAGCAAAAAGAGGTCATTTGTGTTTTGATGCTTCTTTTGAAACTGGGAATTTGGGAAGAGTTGACTTAATCAACGAGCATGAATACGATTTATTCATTAGACCGGATACTTGTAACCCAAAACTTCGATTTTGGTTTAATTTTACCGTTGACAACGTGAAACAAGATCAAGTAAGCATTTTTATATCACCCCAACTTTTTATGGCTTTATTTTTTAGAGAGTTATTTTCAACATAACAAACATATCCAAAGTAAGAAATTTATTTAATTTCAACTTAACACCGTTGGTGAAATCAACATCGCGACAAAAATGGTAATTAACACATTAAAATTAACCAAAAAACTCCGTTTTAACATTTTTAGGCAAAGAATCCCGAAGAAAAACGTTTTCTATCATCGATCTCCTTTTCACCAAAACAACTATGTATTAACATTTACGTTTGCCTTCGATAAAGAAGATGAAATCTATCAATTTGCTTTATCGTATCCTTACAGTTATTCAAAACTACAAATGTTTTTGAAATCGTTGGAAACTAAAGGAAGTAAATATGTCAAAAGGGAAACTTTAGGGAATAGCATCGTAATTAAAAATTAATTTATTTAATACCTCGCTTTTACGCATTTATATTCCAGCAAAAACGTAAACTAGATTTGATTACTATTTCAAACGAAACTAGTGTCAAATCAAACAAAGTCAACGTTAAACAAAGAATTGTTATTATAATGGCGAGACTTCACCCTGGAGAGGCGGCGTCGAGTTTTGTTTGTCAAGGTTTAATGGAATTTTTAATCAGTTCCCATCCAATACCGACTTTATTAAGAGAACACGTCACCTTTAAAATCATCCCCATGCTAAATCCAGATGGCGTTTTCTTAGGAAATTATCGAAGTACAGTTATGGGGTTTGATTTAAACAGGTTTTGGCATGTTTCTTCCGAGTGGACGCATCCTACATTAAAAGCCACTTTAGATATGGTCGTAAATATCGAAAATAACAAAGTAAGGAGTTAAATCGTCTTGAAAGGGTGTTATTTTGATGTTTTTTAGGATTGCCAATTAGATATTGTAATTGATATTCACGCACATTCAAGTTTAACGGGCTGTTTTATTTATGGAAACAGTTATGAGGATGTTTATAGGTTCTTTTTTATTTTATTATTAAAAAAAAATCAAACTTTATTTATTTTTTAGATATGAAAGGCACACAGTTTTCCCAAAAATTTTATCAACGCTCTGCGATGACTACGTCAAAGAAAACACCATGTTTAATTCGGACCAACACAAATTAGGAACAGCTAGGAGATATTTATGCGCAGTTTTAAACAACAATGTAAATTGTTACACGTTTGAAGTGTCTCTATTTGGGTATAAATTGGAAGGATCAAACGTAATTATTCCTTATACAGAAGAAAATTGTATCCTTAAAAAATTAAAATAAATTAATTAAAAATATATTCTTAACGATTAATTAAGATATGAGATGTGGGCGAAATTTAATAAGAGCCCTCCTAGAATATTACAAAGCCATTGGGGCAATACCCGAACAATTATTATCAACGAAAAAGAAAAAATATCGGAGAAGAAGATCGCGGTCAACGCTAAGTTCGAGAAGAGTTTCCCCAACTCGAATTCCCGCTTCAATTTACTACAAAGAATTAAACATGAATTACGAAAGCGATTTTTCCGACGACTTTAATTCTTATAGGCACCCAAAAATTCCAAGCAAGTTCGCCGAAAAACAAGAAAAAAGAATCAAAAAGGTTGGAGGGGGCGGAATTATATCCACCGGGATAACATCGCCCAAAATACAATATTTAGGAACCCCAGAACCGTATTTATCCATCGTAGACTTTAACATGCTTGTGGATGATTTAGATAAAGTTTCAAAAAAATAAATGTCTACACAATTAGGAAAATAAACGCATCATTTAAGCAATAGTTTTTTATTTACTTTTTTTTACGATTCGCATCATACAAAAGTTCTCATCGGCACTTCTACGATTGAAGGAGAATTAATTAGTTATCCCATAGCCTTTGGCACGCTTTAAACATTAAATTAATATAAATGCCTAAAACAAACTTAATAATTAACGTAAAAACAAAACCTAATTTGCAGAAAAATGTGGGATAACAATATGTATAAAATAGAAAATATTAGAAAAAAACGCGACGGAAATCGTAAGGGGAAAATTAATGTATTTTAAATCAATAAGTTTTTAAATATTTAGCATGGAGGTTACGATCCATCTTTTTCGGAGAGCTCTTGATACCGAGCGTACATCATCTTTTTAACACAGTCTTTGTATGATTCGCCAGCCATTGCGTTATAACTTGATGATTTATTTCCCAAACCAACTGTACTATTATGTAATTCAGCCTGTAATAATAATTTTTTTTTGAATATATACATTATAATACATTACAGTGTCTTAATTAATTATCATACCCGACGTCATCATTGCAAGTATGCAACCAATATCACATGCAATGATGACATCGTGTATAATAATATTTAATACATACTTGTATTATAGTTGTTCTTCCTTGATTAGATTTACCAAGACCTTGTCCTTCAGTCCATCCCATTTTCTGTAAAAGTCTATTCCCAACATTTTCAGATCCGATGGGTTCAGAAACAGAAGCGGTAACGGGTAATTCGGTGATTTCCCTCGATTTTAAATATTTTTCCTTTAATTTGCTGGGTTGTGGTTCGTCGGGGTCGCCGTATTTCATTCGCCTCTCCTTCGCGCGATCTCTGTAAACGATCTTTTCGGAATGATCGGCCTTCTTCTTCTTTAAACGGGCTTCTACGTTTTGTTTATGAAGGGCGGATAGTTGGGCGTGTTTTGTTAAGGCATCGGCCGAATTTAGTTGGCGTTTGCATAGATTACAGATTAATTTGTTGTAATCTAAGAATTCTAAGTCGTTAACAGGTCCGGTTTCTTCGTCGTCGGATGATTCGGACTCGCCGTAAGCGGCTACTAAAGGTGGTGCTACAGCCGATGTTGGTGTGGGTGGGGGTTCAATATCGGGTTCTTTATATCCAACATTGCTGCAAGTACCGCCACCGTTCGCTTGCGTTTTCTTTTCTAGGACGGAAAAACCGATATCGGCCGCGCCGATTGATTGGCTATTATTTTGGGCGACATCGACGTTTTTAAAGCTTTGGGTTTCTTTGCGTTGATTCATATTTTTGGCCCACCTTTCCATGTCTTTCGCGATTTTTTTCGCCGTTTTAAACTTGTCTTGTTTTTCAGATTTCGGTTTTTTATTTTCTGTTTCTGCGGCGGAATTTGAAGACGCTTGGTTTTGATTCGCGTAATTATCGTAATTGGTCGGGGCTAATACGTAAGTTAATTTATCGCGGTCCCAATAAAGATATTTTTGAATAACGCTGTTCCAGTAATAAGTGGAGTTCGAGTCGTAATATAGCCCGGTGGTTGCATCGTAATAATAGCCACTCGATTTATCGTAGGTGTATTTCGTGGTGTCGGGTAACGGATAGCGTTTGCCGTCTGTGCCGTTTGGGATTGAGATATGTGTTGAGTCAAAGAATGTTTTGTTTGCTTGCATTTGTTGGATCGCGGATTGGGCTACGGCGGCTGCGGCGTTCGCTGCGTCCATTTGATTTTCTTGGTACAAAGTTATTGAGTTTCCCGCGGTTATTTGCTGCGTGAAATAGCTTTTGTAATAATCTAGATATTGCTGGTACTCGATTAAGTTTTTGGCGTATCTCCTCGCTGAATATTCCGCTAATCGGTCAACGTCGTTTAATGTGTACGTCGTTGCGACGGATGCTGTTGGAATACTGGCTTCAGGTTGTGAATAAACGTTTTTAGTGTCCCCCATGTTGTATTTACAATAAGATAAAATAATCGTTTTTCCGTCGATACTCAAAGGCGTTAACAAATTCGTTAAAGCACCGTGAATAGCGAGCGCGTCTAGCGTACTTTCTGTCCCCAAATAGCAAATTCCGCGGGATGTTGATGTTAAAGGATCCCTTCCTATGGATACCGCGGAGATTTTCTTGACCAAATCGGAAATTGTTACGTTTAAAACCGACATTACGGTATCTTCCGTTGTTAACGCATCCAAATTCCGTAACATGATTGCTGAAAATTTGATGTTTTTTAATAATGTGTAAATTGTGAGGGATTTGTTTTACTTTTGGTGGCGTAATTGCAAATTTCGTCACTTCCACTGCCACCTTCTTCACTTTCCATTCTTGAGGCGTGACATTTAAAGCAGTTATCCCGTCGTTTGAAGTTTTGAGCTCCACACTGTACAAGAATGATGAAGGGAAATAATTATGTATGGATTAAAGTTTATGTGATTATAACCAACTTTAATACAAAACCAATCAGCGGATGCTTTATGCGAAGGAGCTTTTTCTGAACTTGGACATAGCTCCTTGGGTATGCTGTATTGCATGATGGCGCGGTATTGGTCTTGTAGCATGAGAATGCCCTGTAAAATACAAGTAAAAATAAGAGGTCGGAGAATACGTAATGCACCCACCCCTCTTTCAAAAGAGACCTGCTGACCAGGCAGCGCGCAGTACGTTGCGTAATGATTGTACTTTATTATTATTTTTTTAATCTAAAACTAGATGTTTCGAAATGATTTTGGGTATTATAACTTTTTGAAAAAATATTTGAAACATCTTTTTGATTGCTATAAGTTATAATACAACAAAACTCCTAGTAATAGTAATAATATTAATACGAGAATAAAAATACAGGATAGTAACAAATAATAATTTAGAAAAATAAAAATTTTTAATGTGTAACATCAATGATTTAAAAATAAATAGTTGCAAATTAAAGTTACTTGTTACTTCGTGTATAAAGAGTAGTCCCGTAAAGTAAAAAAAAATAAAGTAAAAATAATAATAATAATATTAAAACGTGCACACAATGATGAAACATACTTGAACGTATTGACTTAAAATAAGAGAGGGTGTTACTTGTATTTAGAGTTCGAAACTACCGCTGACGTTCATCAGTCTGTAAGCGTAAGATACCTGCTTCATCTCCATCCAGCGCGTGGCTTCCGTTAGCGTTGTAAACTCGACAAAGGCAAAACCGCGAGACGCACCTAAACAGCACAATAGATACCATTCGCATTACCTGAGCCTCATAAATGGAACGACCCATTAAAAAAAATTTCATAAAATTTCAATTCGTTATGTTACTCAACGGTATTATATGTTACCGTTCCTGTTTCCAAGTTCTTTACCTGTATCTTTCTTCCTGATTAAGCGTATATCCTTTGGCATTAAACCACATTGTATTATATCTTGTCTTATCTACAAAAAATTAATAATTTATTAAATAAAATTTTTTGTTTTTCTGTGGCATAAGCTTATGGAGTCAATTCAGATACATATAATTATGAAGTACTCAGCCTATACATTATTTCGTTTGAATTGATTCTGGTTGAAAAACTATCAAGTCTTGTCACCGACCATTTTTGCTATACAGGGTGAGTTATTAGGGAAAGACTACTTTTGATGTTTTTCAAATAGCTTTTTCATAAGTTTTTTAAATGGAACATCCTGTATATTGTGTCCGGGTTGAATTGCCCATCAAGTTACCTTTAATTAATGATAAGTATGTCATATATCTAACTTTAGTAGTTTTCCTGATATTTAGAATTTAAAAAATAATGTGTAATAAAATATGCGCTATTGTACTTAATATTATATTCTGTCTATGTTTATCAGTTTTTTTTTGTTCTTCCTTTTATTATTTGATTAATATTTTATAATGTGAAATAATTTTGCTGCCATATACCAGATTTTAAAGCGACTTGGTACTTTATGAGATTTTAAAAAGATGTAAGTAATTTACAACTTTAGAGAAAATAAGATGCACATGTTAAGAGATAACTCAAGATCTTTTATACAGCGCATTAATGGTTGTAGAAGAGAAAATGGGCGGCATTTTGAACAACTTCTAAATATTAATTAAATTAATACCTACTGTTGAGCAATGTTTAGTAATTGTTTATAATTTGTTGCTGCATTTCCTTCAAATAATTTAGTAATTAAAAAAGGGATTTATTGTTCTGTCATTTAATTGTATTTTTATCACGTTTTGATTATTTAATTATTAAAGTTTTTTTTTAATTGTATTTTAATACAATATTACTGATTTAGAAATGACAAATAAAAAAAAAGTGACAAAAAAAGGACAGAATATATTACATTCTGTCACTTTTTTAAGTACAATAATAACATTTTATTACACATTTTTCTTTAAATTCTAAATATCAGGAAAACTATTAAAGTTAGATATATGACATAATTATTATTAATTAAAGGGAACTTGATGAGCAATTCAATTAGCAAACAATATACAGAGTGTTCCATTTAAAAACCTTAAGAAAAAGCCATTTGAAACACATCAAAAGTAACTAAGCTTTATAAACAGCCTGTATAGTGTATCTAATATCTTTGAATGCTATCATCGTCCTACTGGCTTTGACTATTGTCTGACGTAGCTTCAAGGCAAAATCGGAAAAAATGTCGTTTTTACATCGTTTTTAAAAAGATCCTGAAATGGGCATATTTTGTAAGAACAATTGAATATCTCAGGAACTATGAACGCTGTGAAATAGTAACATATACGGTTGTATAAACAAATTTAGTTGTATCAATTACATGATAAAATAAATAGGGTGTAATAGAAAGTGTCAAACAGCATTGGTATAAAATATTTTTTTGTTTTTCAAACAGTTTAGTAATATTTACCGCCAGGATACTAATAATTCATCCTGTAAATGTGGTAAATTTTGTTAAAATTTAAGAACGTTTTGAATTTTATCCTGTAAACTTGTAACACTTCGTCCTTAATTTTATTTTGAACCTTTTTAAACTTTAATTTTGTAAATTAGTAACTAATAATCCGATTTTCGACTTTGATATGTCATCTTTTTTAACAAAAGAAAAAGAAATAGTGTCTGAAGATGGCCAAGGGCCGAAACTAATTAGACTTAAATTCTTTCCAGCATAAATGAATTGCCTTTGTCTTATTATTTTCGTATTCAGGGTTAATATTAAAGTTAAAATTGACTAATAAACCTCATGCCACAGAATTAGTGTGTTATTCTTACATCGTTTTCTGTAATATGTTGAGCAAGACCACGAATCATAATCGTATTATTGGGTGGTTGACTTTTATAACCAATAATTTCAGAACCGCTGGCACCCAAAACGCCGCCAGAAGAGCTACGTTCACTGTTAACATTATGAGAAAGTTAATTGTAACTATGACAGTACTTGACTGTGCCCCATCGTATGTCGGATTCTACCGCACTTAACAGATTAAATTACGGTCTCAATGAATGTACGAAACGATGTGTGTGCCCACAATGGGGTCATACCTATCAATGCTGTCCCTATCATTGTCACGGTACGACCGATCGTGCAACTTCCGTTCCTCAGAACCTTTCCGCTCCCAACGCGAACCGCTGCTTGACCGACGTTCCCTGCTTTTACGTCTGTAATCACGGTGACCACCATCGTAATCTCTGTAGCGGTCTCTTCCACGTTCCCGCATGTGCTCCCTACTACGGGACCGGCTGCGTGATTCTCTAAATTCTTTTCTTGAGTAATCACGTTCACTGTCGTAATCACTTCCTTTTGGTGATCTATCATCTATATAATCACTGCTGTATCGTTGATCTAAAATTAAAACTCATTATATAAACTTAATTTATTACTTTTAAATACACTGTGTTTCAGGAAAGATGTTACAATTACGCCCTACTTGGTGTGAACACAATTTTAAGAAAATTTTTGTATTTTGAATTTATATTATTTGGTTTTATATTTTTAGTTCAGGTAAAGTAACCTTTTTGTTCATGATACGAAAAATTTTTATTAAGAAAAGTTGTTCCAAATGAGATATTATGGTCCTATACAAAATTTTAGAAATATCTATCTACTTTGATATCTTCACTCAAAATATGGTGGTTTAATCAATGTAGGTAGATTTTTCTGAAATTTTGCATAGTGGCATAATTTCTCATTCTGAACAACTTTTCTTAATGAAATTTTGCCGTATCATGAACAAAAAACTTACTTTACCTGAACTAGAATTAATTTTAATTTTTAGTTCATGTAAAGTAACCTTTTTGTTCATGATACCGAAAAATTTTATTAAGAAAAGTGGTTCAAAATGAGATATTATGGTCCTATACAAAATTTTAGAAGTATCTATCTAATTTGATATCTTCACTCAAAATATGGTGGTTTAATCAATGTAGATAGATTTTTCTGAAATTTTGCATAGTGGCATAATTTCTCATTCTGAACAACTTTTCTTAATGAAATTTTGCCGTATCATGAACAAAAAACTTACTTTACCTTAACTAGAATTGATTTTATATTTTTATTTCATGTAAAGTAACCTTTTTGTTCATGATAGGGAAAAATTTTATTAAGAAAAGTTGTTCCAAATAAGATATTATGGTCCTATACAAAATTTTAGAAGTATCTATCTACTTTGATTTTTTCACTCAAAATATGATGGTTTAATCAATGTGGGTAGATCTTTCTGAAATTTTGCATCATACCATAATTTCTCATTCTGAACAACTTTTCTTAATGAAATTTTGCCGTATCATGAACAAAAAACCTACTTTACCTGAACTAGAAATATAATTAATATTCAAAATATACTTAAAATTCTTTCCACAGGTCATTATACATATTGTAACATATATCCTGGGACACACTGTATATTTATGTACATTTATGTGATTTGTGAGGGGATCTTCGTCCATTATGTCTCCTGTAATGTGGCGAATGGCTCCTTGATCTACTCTTGTGTCTGGATCTGGACCGGCTACTCCTATCACGATACTCCATCGTCGTTTTACCTTTGGAGTGCTCCTTCTTTTTGTAATACTGTTACAAAATTACAAGGCGTAATTTACGATTGCAGGTCATAGACATTTGACGAAACAACTACTTACTTGGCTGTCGCTATACATGTTAATTGTGGCTCGTTTTCCGCACCAAATCGATCTAAACCCTCCCTAATACTATAATTTCGATATATTTCACGATTCCACCCGGAAATACAACAGCTTTATTGCATTTCTTAATCTTTGTCACTTTACTGATAAAACGTTGTGTTCACGTTTCTTAAGTTGTATAAATCATTATTAGATGGCGCTACTTTCGCGATTTGTTTGTATGGTGCTTAATAGATGGCAGGATTTAATAAAACGCAAGGTTATGAGAATACGTGTATATTTCTATAAAAATAAATAATTACAAAATAAATTCTTATTCTTAACACAATTTTAAACTTTACTTTTTTTTAATACATATTTTTGGTCATTTTGTTTATTTTTCGTGGAAGTAGAACACTGTTTTGTGTCCGAATTAACTCCACTTTTAGTTATTTTTAATAATTTAGCGTAAGCTAAGCGATATTGTTTATTCGTGGCGGCATAAACGAACGGGTTAATAACGCTCGAGGCCCAAACTAGTATAGAAGCCAAAATATGAAAGAAAGGGTACTTTACATCGTCGTCGAATACATTTACGCACATCAATGGCAAAAAACACAAGATGAAACAAATAAAAATGAGTAACATTAACTTTGTCAAGCGATTATCGTCCCTTTGTCTTCGGGTTTGACGATCTAATGGGTGATTTTGCCTAAAAATATAATTATAAATTAAAACACCCCATCTTTATTTTTGTAGTCGAAACGTTAACAAAATGTGGGATTCCCCGAACTATATATTTAGTGACATTTAGTGCTGTGAGAATCAGAGTCGTAGTTGTTGTAATGTTACTTACTGATGTGCTTCTAAAGTTTTCTTTGATGCGCGTACTTTTAAATAAATGCACGTGTATGAGATCACAATTATTATACAAGGAATAACGATTCCCACCAAGAAAAACATTTTTTTGGGTGACCCATTATTGTCTAGGATGGTACAAGAAAAAGTTCGTTTATCGAATCCGAGTTTGCCCCAAACTTCGAATAAAGGTAATATCTAAAAATGTATAAATAATTAGTAATAATCAAAAAATGTGTGTGTAATTACCATAATACTTGATGAAAGAGTCCAAATAAAAACAATTTGCGCCCAAATTGAGGTTTTTGAATAAATGGTGTTATAATAATTGCTATGCGAAATGATGGTGTACCTAAAAGATATTAATTTAGAGTAGAATTTTAATTGAAAATGTTAGTCATCAATTAAGAAATAGATGGGGTCAAATGTCGCCCGGATATCGGAGTCATTCATTAAAGTAACCGAGCGTTGCTTAAAACAATTAAAACTTAACAGACTCGGTTAAGTGTTTATCGGCGCACAATATTAAAAGGACCTGAACAGTTCTTGCATGTGGTTTCATATCGGACATAAAACAAACACTATCTATAGAGGCTCCGCAAGCGTCGGTCGTCTTTAAATAAACTCTAAGTGACCGTATCAGTCAAACTGGAGGCGAACAGAGCTCTCTTGTAGCGAAATCCAAACAAAAAGAATTAAAAAATAAAAAAAATTAAACAAAAAAAAATTTCTCAATTCATTTTCTCCACCTTAGATACGATAACAAAACAAATGTTGAAAGAACATTTTTATCTTACCTGTTTAAAGTGATAGCTACCATGTTTAACAAAGATAAAGCGACGTTCCCATAAAGAACAACGGGGAATATTTTACACAAAGTATCCCCAAGAATCCAATCTTCATAAATATACCGAATTGCCATTAGAGGTAAATTGAAAACGCAAAATATCAAATCAGAGATGCATAACGAAAGCACAAAAAATGTTGTTGCATGTGTACGTAATTTCGGACATCGAATTAATGCTAAAATTGTTATCGAATTACCTGCAATACAAAAAAAAATCAATCTAAAAGAAATTCAATACAAAAAAAATACAATACGTATATAGGTGTGGATTGAATTCAAAAGAATTAAAAAAAAAATTAACGTACCTAAAACTCCGAATACACAAAAAGTGATCGCACAAAATGCGGCAAAAATCGTGGCACTTCTTTGATAGGGGTTCTGTTGTGGGTGCATGGCTTAAAAGTGACGATTTTCTTTGAGAAAACATGAATGGATTGAAGCGTAGGGTTTCAAAATCCAACCGCTCCGAACAAATTCGCTGCAGTTAGTGAGTTTAGTGAGCGTTGGTTTGTGTTTTATCAATAGTGGGAGATGAACCAATCTGAAGCGTTCAAATTTAAAGAAAAAAAAAGTTACCTAAAGCACAGCCTAAAGTAAATGTTAAAAAAATTTTATTCAATTTATTTTGATTTATTTAAATCTTAAAATTTTTTTTTTTCAAAATTTTTTTAATCCAACTCTGCGCAAAACTCGATGCGTACCAGGTCTCCATAGGTACCAACCTAAATCAAAATCAAATTATTTATAAATCCTATTTCAAACTTAAATTTATAATAAAAAGTTTGTAATTGATTTGTTATTCATATTTTAAGTTATTTAAATCAAAAATTTATAATAATTTAATGCGATTTAGTCAACGGTGATCGTCAATTGTTTTTCGGAGGTTATTTAAGGGGTGGGAAAGTGGTCGCCAGTTCACTTACGTTGAGTAAGTGGTCTGCTTCGGTTGTGATAGTGTTTTCCCTTCGAGGATTTTTAAAATTTTGCGAATTTGGCCGAAAATTATTATAAAAAGGAGAAAATGGGGCTAATTGTTTGTAAGGAAGCACTTTTTTCGTTATTTTTTTTTGTTTGCGATGATTTCCTTGGTTAGGTTAATTTTCTTCGAGAATGTTCTAGAACATTCTCGAAGATTCCGCCATGTTTAAAAAAATCGTTCAAAAAACGCGCCAAATTTAAAATTGTTTTTTTATTGATATCTAATATAAATATATTCATTATAGCGAAATTAGAAAAAACACCCGCACTGATGGAGGAATTTTTATTCCTCATAATGAACACGATGGGTAACTTTATTGGGAACTATATTGAGGTTGCTGATATCCTACTGTTTTTTGATGGTCCTGAAATGATGAATCGTTGTGAGGCAAGTCTCCAACGCCACATATCAGCGTAAGTACTCATCGCGATTAAAATTTATTTTGTTTTATAATGAAATGTTTCTTAATTTAGTCGTAAACGGGCTTTTCGATCAGAACTCCGCAAATATCAAGAAAATCACCGAAACTGCCAGTGCCAGGTTTGCATGACAAGGGCAATGTGTAATATTAACGAAATGCAGGAATACTGGATTCATTTTGAAGAAGTACTGCATAATATGTGTGAAAATGAGACGATGGAAATAGAGGCAGTTACCTTGATGGGCATCCTAATAGATTTTTACTTTTCCTTACAATTTGATTTGCCCATATGTTGCAGGCGTAAAGACAAAAACAGCGTTATTCGCAAATCCATCGAAGAAGATTTGTTACAACCATTACGAGTTTTATTGGAAAAAGGAGTAAGTTAATTTATTTGTGTTAGCCTTAATAACAAATCTTTTTACTAGAAAAAAGAGAAGAAAAAGGCTGAACCGTCCAAAATGACTCAAGGAACTAAATCGTTTGAACTCCCAAAAACGTCAGAATCGAAATCACCGCCGAGGCATGATAAACGGAAGAAGCAACGAAGCAACATATCATTGAGCCCCACTTGTGGACTCCCAAAAGCACCCCAATCTACGTCACCTAGGAAATTTCAAATAAGTGCCGGAGATCCAACACCGTCTACTTCACAAATGTTCATGCAAGAAGAGCGAGATGTGGAACTTGATCGTAAGTTAGATAATTCATAAAGTTGCAAAATAAATTAATAATAATAAATAATTAAGCAGCTGCAGCCGAAGAGGAACCAAGCGAGGTTGTCCTCAAAATGGTCAAAAAAGGAGGAGTTTACATCCCAGCCAATTTCGATGACCTCCCCGACGAATTAAAAAGTGTATTTAGAAGAATCGAGGAGGCAGCGAAAATAATGGCAGATGCGCCTCCGAGCACTCCAAAATCTCCTGTAAAATCACCAAAACCTAAGAAAACGACCAAAGTATTAAGAGATCCTGTTTTGATCATTCCACCACCACCTCAAAAGAAAATCCAAGTAATACCACAGGAAGTTCAAGAAGCCATGGATGTTTTTCCAAAAATGCATCATCACAGCTTATCCTCTCAACCTTCCAGTGTGAGGCTGACAGAACCCGATCCCGAAAGAATTAAATTGGAAGACTTAATGGCATCAGGTTCTTTCAAAAAGCATAAACAACCCGAAAATCCATTCAAATTAACACAAAAAAGACAGGCAGAGAGGGTAAAATTATCACATGCTCTACATAGATCATCTTCCATCGAAAAGCTTCCTTCAGAATTTCCTGACGATGAACCAATTATGCCATTTAAATTACAACCTCCTCAACCAAAATCCCCTCCTGGTGCAAAGCAACCGGACACCACCAAACTTTTAAAAGACGAATTGGATAAAACAACCATCGGGAAGAAACTTTTTGAAACCGTTTTTGGAGTTCAAGATGATGACAAAATCTTTAAACTTGAAGAATTGATGAAATTAGAGCAAGAACCCCAATCTGCTCCAATTCCAAAGGAGACACAAAGAGAAGAGGAAAAAATTAGCTTCGATCAGAACGACGAAAAAGATGTTTCCGGTAATTTTTTAATTTTAATTTTTTGATTTTTATTTAATTTCTTTTTTTTTGTTTTCAATAAGAATATTCAGATGAAGATGAGGAAGAAGAAACGAGTTACGACGAAGAACTCGAAGAGGATACTCCACCGGATTCTCCGAAAACACCACCACCTGGTGGTTCAGACTCCGGTTCATATTTTACAGCTGTTTCAAGCACAACAACAATCTCTTCACACAAAAAAGATAAGATAAATAAAGGTGATGATGTTGTCGAAAAAGAATCTAAAGATACTTCAACTTTAAAGTATAATCTGTTGGATATCTTTAAAAAGCCTTCTCAATTTAATCCTTGGAAAAGTAAATCGCAGGCAGGACACTCGATTAGTAAAATTAGCAAACCTTCAGCGTCAAGGAAGTTCAGATTTCCTCCCAACAGAAAACTTCCTTCAATATTACCATTATTTCAACAATATCCTACCATAGCAGAAGACCCCACTAGTGAAGATTTTGAAAATGAACAAAAGTTGATGATGGAACAAACGAAAAAGAAACGTGATTAAGATATTTTTATAAGAAGTTAGATTTAATAATTGTAATAATAAGTTATTGATCTCATAAGTTCTCGATACTGTAATAAGTTAATCCGATATGTTCCTAATATTGTAATAATTTTTTGATACTAAATAAGTTTTTGATATTATAATGAAGTACTACAAATAAGTTTGCAATAATATAATAAGTTCTTGATGTTATAATAAGCTATTAACAATTTACCGATGTTTCATATAGGTGTTTAATTTTGTTTTTTGTGTTAATAATGTTAAAAAAAAAATTCTCATTTTCCAATACATTAATAAACTAATAACAAAACTTAATTGTTAATTATTTAGATTAAAAAATCACATTAATTCCTAAAATTTAAATTCAAAAAATAATCGAGCGATGAAATCGTTTCAAATGGTGGCCCTGACGGGTGTTGGAATAGTTCACCATCTCGCCACAGTTGTCACCACCGTCGAATAAGTGGACGGTTTTAGCTGTGAAAGTGTTGGTTCTTCGAAGATTTGTTGAAATTACCCGAATTTAGGAGAAAATTGTCATAAAAAGGAAGAAAATGGGGCTGATTATATGTAAGAAATCATTTTTTCATAAAATTTTTCTGTATTCGTGTTATTTTTCTTGGTTATGTCGGTAAATTAGGTTCCAAAACTTATTAAACGGAAATTTATCATGATTATTGCTAAAATAAGTTTTCAAATTATTGTCTTAAATGTGTCCTTGGGATGCTAAAAAAACGTTATTTTCAAAAAAAGAATCCGACCAATCAAATAATCGCAAGTGGCGGCCATGACGGGTGTTTGAATAGTTCGCCATCTTGCCATATTTGACATCACGTCACTTTCGTCGAAGAAGTGGTCGGTTTCGCGTGTGAAAGTGTTGCCTCTTCGAAAATTTTAGCAAATTATCCCAATTTCGGTGAAAATTATCATAAAAAGAAGAAAATGGGGCTGATTATATGTAAGAAATCATTTTTTCATAAAATTTTTTTGTATTCGCGTTGTTTTTCTTGGTTATGTCGGTAAATTAGGTCCCAAAACTTATTAAACGGAAATTTATCACAGTTATTGCTAAAATAAGTGTTTTTATGGGAGTTTTAAGTAATTTAGGACTTTCAGGACTAATTTTTGTTGAAATTTTTTGGTTATTTTTCAAATTATTGTCTTAAATGTGTCGTTGGTATGCTAAAAAACCGTTATTTTCAAAAAAAGAATCCGACCAATCAAATGATCGCAAGTGACGGCCATGACGTGTTAGAATAGTTCACCATCTTACCATATTTGGCGTTCGCGTCACTTTCGTCGAGTAAGTGGACGGTTTCGCGTGTGAAAGTGTTGCCTCTTCGAAGATTTGTTGAAATTATCCGAATTCTGGTAAAAATTATCATAAAAAGGAAGAAAATGGGGTTGATTATTTGTAAGAAATCATTTTTTCATATTTTTTATTATTCGCGTCGTTTTCTTTGGTTAGGTCGGTAAATTAGGTCCCAAAACTTATTAAACGGAAATTTTTCACAATTGTTGCTAAAATAAGTGGTTTTATGTGAGTTTTAAGTAATCTAGGACTAATTTTTGTTGAAATTTTCGGGTTATTTTTTTAAATTATTGTCTTAAATGTGTCCTTGGAATGCTAAAAAACCGTTATTTTCAAAAAAAGAATCCGACCAATCAAATAATCGCAAGTGGCGGCCATGACGGCTGTTTGAATAGTTCGCCATCTTGCCATATTTGACATCACGTCACTTTCGTCGAAGAAGTGGTCGGTTTCGCGTGTGAAAGTGTTCCCTCTTCGAAAATTTTAGCAAATTATCCCAATTTCGGTGAAAATTATCATAAAAAGAAGACAATGGGGCTGATTATATGTAAGAAATCATTTTTTCATAAAATTTTTTTGTATTCGCGTTGTTTTTCTTGGTTATGTCGGCAAATTAGGTCCCAAAACTTATTAAACGGAAATTTATCACAATTATTGCTAAAATAAGTGGTTTTATGTGAGTTTTAAGTAATCTAGGACTTCCAGGACTAATTTTTGTTGAAATTTTCGGGTTATTTTTTAAATTATTGTCTTAAATGTGTCCTTGGAATGCCAAAAAAACCGTTATTTTCAAAAAAAGAATCCGACCAATCAAATAATCGCAAGTGGCGGCCATGACGTGTTTTAGAATAGTTCACCATCTTGTCATATTTGACATCACGTCACTTTCGTCGAAGAAGTGGTCGGTTTCGCGTGTAAAAGTGTTGCCCCTTCGAAAATTTGTTGAAATTTTACGAATTTCGGTGAAAATTATCATAAAAAGGAGAAAATGGGGCTGATTATTTGTAAGAAATCATTTTTTATGATATTTTTTATTATTCGTGTCGTTTTCTTTGGTTAGGTCGATAAATTAGGTCCCAAAACTTATTAAACGGAAATTTATCACAATTATTGCTAAAATAAGTATTTTTATGTAAGTTTTAAGTAATCTAGGACTTCCAGGACTAATTTTAGTTGAAATTTTCGGGTTATTTTTTAAATTATTGTCTTAAATGTGTCCTTGGGATGCTAAAAAACCGTTATTTTCAAAAAAAGAATCCGACCAATCAAATAATCGTAAGTGGCGGCCATGACGTGTTAGAATAGTTCGCCATCTTGCCATATTTGGCGTTCGCGTCACTTTCGTCGAAGAAGTGGTTGGTTTCGCGTGTGAGAGTGTTGCCTCTTCGAAAATTTGTTAAAATTATCCGAATTTTGGTAAAAATTATCATAAAAAGGAAGAAAATGGGGCTGATTATCTGTAAGAAATCATTTTTTCATGATATTTTTTATTATTCGCGTCGTTTTCTTTGGTTACGTCGGTAAATTAGGTTCCAAAACTTATTAAACGGAAATTTATCACAATTATTGCTAAAATAAGTGTTTTTATGGAAGTTTTAAGTAATCTAGGACTTTCAGGATTAATTTTTGTTGAAATTTTCGGGTTATTTTTCAAATTATTGTGTTAAATGTGTCGTTGGTATGCTAAATAAACCGTTATTTTCAAAAAAAGAATCCGACCAATCAAATGATCGCAAGTGGCGGCCATGACGTGTTAGAATAGTTCACCATCTTGCCATATTTGGCGTTCGCGTCACTTTCGTCGAAGAAGTGGTCGGTTTCGCGTGTGAAAGTGTTGTCTCTTCGAAGATTTGTTGAAATTATCCGAATTCTGGTAAAAATTATCATAAAAAGGAAGAAAATGGGGCTGATTATTTGTAAGAAATCATTTATTCATGATATTTTTTATTATTCACGTCGTTTTCTTTGGTTAGGTCGGTAAATTAGGTCCCAAAACTTATTAAACGGAAATTTATCACAATTATAGCTAAAATAAGTGTTTTTATGTGAATTTTAAGTAATCTAGGACTTCCAGGACTAATTTTTGTTGAAATTTTCGGGTTATTTTTTAAATTATTGTCTTAAATGTGTCCTTGGAGTGCTAAAAAAACCGTTATTTTCAAAAAAAGAATCCGACCAATCAAATGATCGCAAGTGGCGGCCATGACGTGTTAGAATAGTTCACCATCTTGCCATATTTGGCGTTCGCGTCACTTTCGTCGAAGAAGTGGTCGGTTTCGCGTGTGAAAGTGTTGTCTCTTCGAAGATTTGTTGAAATTATCCGAATTCTGGTAAAAATTATCATAAAAAGGAAGAAAATGGGGCTGATTATTTGTAAGAAATCATTTATTCATGATATTTTTTATTATTCACGTCGTTTTCTTTGGTTAGGTCGGTAAATTAGGTCCCAAAACTTATTAAACGGAAATTTATCACAATTATAGCTAAAATAAGTGTTTTTATGTGAATTTTAAGTAATCTAGGACTTCCAGGACTAATTTTTGTTGAAATTTTCGGGTTATTTTTTAAATTATTGTCTTAAATGTGTCCTTGGAGTGCTAAAAAAATCGTTATTTTCAAAAAAAGAATCCGACCAATCAAATGATCGCAAGTGGCGGCCATGACGTGTTAGAATAGTTCACCATCTTGCCATATTTGGCGTTCGCGTCACTTTCGTCGAGTAAGTGGTCGGTTTCGCGTGTAAAAGTGTTGCCCCTTCGAAAATTTGTTGAAATTTTACTAATTTCGGTGAAAATTATCATAAAACGGATGAAAATGGGGCTGATTGTTTGTAAGAAATCATTTTTTCATGATATTTTTTATTATTCGCGTCGTTTTCTTTGGTTAGGTCGGTAAATTAGGTCCCAAAACTTATTAAACGGAAATTTTTCACAATTATTGCTAAAATAAGTGTTTTTATGGGAGTTTTAAGTAGTCTAGGACTTCCAGGACTAATTTTTGTTGAAATTTTCGGGTTATTTTTTAAATTATTGTCTTAAATGTGTCCTTGGAGTGCTAAAAAACCGTTATTTTCAAAAAAAGAATCCGACCAATCAAATGATCGCAAGTGGCGGCCATGGCGTGTTAGAATAGTTCGCCATCTTGCCATATTTGGCGTTCGCGTCACTTTCGTCGAGTAAGTGGTCGGTTTCGCGTGTAAAAGTGTTGCCCCTTCGAAAATTTGTTGAAATTTTACTAATTTCGGTGAAAATTATCATAAAACGGATGAAAATGGGGCTGATTGTTTGTAAGAAATCATTTTTTCATGATATTTTTTATTATTCGCGTCGTTTTCTTTGGTTAGGTCGGTAAATTAGGTCCCAAAACTTATTAAACGGAAATTTTTCACAATTATTGCTAAAATAAGTGTTTTTATGGGAGTTTTAAGTAGTCTAGGACTTCCAGGACTAATTTTTGTTGAAATTTTCGGGTTATTTTTTAAATTATTGTCTTAAATGTGTCCTTGGAGTGCTAAAAAACCGTTATTTTCAAAAAAAGAATCCGACCAATCAAATGATCGCAAGTGGCGGCCATGGCGTGTTAGAATAGTTCGCCATCTTGCCATATTTGGCGTTCGCGTCACTTTCGTCGAGTAAGTGGTCGGTTTCGCGTGTAAAAGTGTTGCCCCTTCGAAAATTTGTTGAAATTTTACTAATTTCGGTGAAAATTATCATAAAACGGAAGAAAATGGGGCTGATTGTTTGTAAGAAATCATTTTTTCATGATATTTTTTATTATTCGCGTCGTTTTCTTTGGTTAGGTCGGTAAATTAGGTCCCAAAACTTATTAAACGGAAATTTTTCACAATTATTGCTAAAATAAGTGGTTTTATGTGAGTTTTAAGTAATCTAGGACTTCCAGGACTAATTTTTGTTGAAATTTTCGGGTTATTTTTTAAATTGTTGTCTTAAATGGGTCCTTGGAATAAAAGTGGCGGCCATGACGTTTTAGAATAGTTCACCATCTTGCCATATTTGGCGTTCGCGTCACTTTCGTCGAGTAAGTGGTCAGTTTCGGGTGTGCTCCTCGAAAATTTATTCAAATTTTCCAAATTTCGGTGAAAATTGTTATAAAAAGGTGAAAATGGGGCTGATTGTTTGTAAGTAATCATTTTTTCATACATTATCTTTTGATTCGCGATGTTTCTTGAAGTAGGTTGATTTTCTTCGAGAATGTTCGAGAATGTTCTAGAACATTCTCGAAGAAAATCAACCTACTTGCCATATTTGGCGTTCGCGTCACTTTCGTCGAGTAAGTGGTCAGTTTCGGGTGTGCTCCTCGAAAATTTATTGAAATTTTCCGAATTTCGGTGAAAATTGTTATAAAAAGGTGAAAATGGGGCTGATTGTTTGTAAGAAATCATTTTTTCATGATATTTTTTATTATTCGCGTCGTTTTCTTTGGTTAGGTCGGTAAATTAGGTCCCAAAACTTATTAAACGGAAATTTATCACAATTATTGTTAAAATAAGTGTTTTTATGGGAGTTTTAAGTAATCTAGGACTTCCAGGATTAATTTTTGTTGAAATTTTCGGGTTATTTTTTAAATTATTGTCTTAAATGTGTCCTTGGAGTGCTAAAAAAACCGTTATTTTCAAAAAAAGAATCCGACCAATCAAATGATCGCAAGTGGCGGCCATGACGTGTTAGAATAGTTCGCCATCTTGCCATATTTGGCGTTCGCGTCACTTTCGTCGAAGAAGTGGTCGGTTTCGCGTGTGAAAGTGTTGCCTCTTCGAAGATTTGTTGAAATTATCCGAATTTCGGTAAAAATAATCATAAAAAGGAAGAAAATGGGGCTGATTATTTGTAAGAAATCATTTTTTCATGATATTTTTTATTATTGTCGTCGTTTTCTTTGGTTAGGTCGGTAAATTCGGTCCCAAAACTTATTAAACGGAAATTTATCACAATTATTGCTACAATAAGTGTTTGTATGTGAGTTTTAAGTAATCTAGGACTTCCAGGACTAATTTTTGTTGAAATTTTCGGGTTATTTTTCAAATTATTGTCTTAAATGTGTCGTTGGTATGCTAAAAAAACCGTTATTTTCAAAAAAATAATCCGACCAATCAAATAATCGCATGTGGTGGCCATGACGTGTTTTGGAATAGTTCACCATCTTACCATATTTGGCGTTCGCGTCACTTTCGTCGAGTAAGTGGTCGGTTTCGCGTGTAAAAGTGTTGCCCCTTCGAAAATTTGTTGAAATTTTACGAATTTCGGTGAAAATTATCATAAAAAGGAGAAAATGGGGCTGATTATTTGTAAGAAATCATTTTTTCATGATATTTTTTATTATTCGCGTCGTTTTCTTTGGTTAGGTCGGTAAATTAGATCCCAAAACTTATTAAGCGGAAATTTATCACAATTATTGCTAAAATAAGTGTTTTTATGGGAGTTTTAAGTAATCTAGGACTTCCAGGACTAATTTTTGTTGAAATTTTCGGGTTATTTTTTAAATTGTCTTAAATGTGTCTTTGGAGTGCTAAAAAAACCGTTATTTTCAAAGAAAGAATCCGACCAATCAAATGACCGCAAGTGGCGGCCATGACGTGTTAGAATAGTTCCCCATCTTGCCATATTTGGCGTTCGCGTCACTTTCGTCGAGTAAGTGGTCAGTTTCGGGTGTGCTCCTCGAAAATTTATTCAAATTTTCCAAATTTCGGTGAAAATTGTTATAAAAAGGTGAAAATGGGGCTGATTGTTTGTAAGTAATCATTTTTTCATACATTATCTTTTGATTCGCGATGTTTCTTGAAGTAGGTTGATTTTCTTCGAGAATGTTCGAGAATGTTCTAGAACATTCTCGAAGAAAATCAACCTACTTGCCATATTTGGCGTTCGCGTCACTTTCGTCGAGTAAGTGGTCAGTTTCGGGTGTGCTCCTCGAAAATTTATTGAAATTTTCCGAATTTCGGTGAAAATTGTTATAAAAAGGTGAAAATGGGGCTGATTGTTTGTAAGAAATCATTTTTTCATGATATTTTTTATTATTCGCGTCGTTTTCTTTGGTTAGGTCGATAAATTAGGTCCCAAAACTTATTAAACGGGAATTTATCACAATTATTGCTAAAATAAGTGTTTTTATGTGAGTTTTAAGTAATCTAGGACTTCCAGGACTAATTTTTGTTGAAATTTTTGGGTTATTTTTTAAATTATTGTCTTAAATGTGTCCTTGGAATGCTAAAAAACCGTTATTTTCAAAAAAAGAATCCGACCAATCAAATAATCGCAAGTGGCGGCCATGACGTGTTTTGGAATAGTTCACCATCTTACCATATTTGGCGTTCGCGTCACTTTCGTCGAGTAAGTGGTCGGTTTCGCGTGTAAAAGTGTTGCCCCTTCGAAAATTTGTTGAAATTTTACGAATTTCGGTGAAAATTATCATAAAAGGAAGAAAATGGGGCTGATTATTTGTAAGAAATCATTTATTCACGATATTTTTTATTATTCACGTCGTTTTCTTTGGTTAGGTCGGTAAATTAGGTCCCAAAACTTATTAAACGGAAATTTATCACAATTATTGCTAAAATAAGTGTTTTTATGGGAGTTTTAAGTAGTCTAGGACTTCCAGGACTAATTTTTGTTGAAATTTTCGGGTTATTTTTTAAATTATTGTCTTAAATGTGTCCTTGGAGTGCTAAAAAACCGTTATTTTCAAAAAAAGAATCCGACCAATCAAATGATCGCAAGTGGCGGCCATGGCGTGTTAGAATAGTTCGCCATCTTGCCATATTTGGCGTTCGCGTCACTTTCGTCGAGTAAGTGGTCGGTTTCGCGTGTAAAAGTGTTGCCCCTTCGAAAATTTGTTGAAATTTTACTAATTTCGGTGAAAATTATCATAAAACGGAAGAAAATGGGGCTGATTATTTGTAAGAAATCATTTTTTCATGATATTTTTTATTATTCGCGTCGTTTTCTTTGGTTAGGTCGGTAAATTAGGTCCCAAAACTTATTAAACGGAAATTTTTCACAATTATTGCTAAAATAAGTGGTTTTATGTGAGTTTTAAGTAATCTAGGACTTCCAGGACTAATTTTTGTTGAAATTTTCGGGTTATTTTTTAAATTGTTGTCTTAAATGGGTCCTTGGAATAAAAGTGGCGGCCATGACGTTTTAGAATAGTTCACCATCTTGCCATATTTGGCGTTCGCGTCACTTTCGTCGAGTAAGTGGTCAGTTTCGGGTGTGCTCCTCGAAAATTTATTCAAATTTTCCAAATTTCGGTAAAAATTTTTATAAAAAGGTGAAAATGGGGCTGATTGTTTGTAAGTAATCATTTTTTCATACATTATCTTTTGATTCGCGATGTTTCTTGAAGTAGGTTGATTTTCTTCGAGAATGTTCGAGAATGTTCTAGAACATTCTCGAAGAAAATCAACCTACTTGCCATATTTGGCGTTCGCGTCACTTTCATCGAGTAAGTGGTCAGTTTCGGGTGTGCTCCTCGAAAATTTATTCAAATTTTCCGAATTTCGGTGAAAATTGTTATAAAAAGGTGAAAATGGGACTGATTGTTTGTAAGTAATCATTTTTTCATACATTATCTTTTAATTCGCGATATTTCTTGAAGTAGGTTGATTTTCTTCGAGAATGTTCTAGAACATTCTCGAACAAATTTAAAAAAGCCGTAACTTAAAAAAAAAATTTTAAAAAGTAAAACTTTTTTAAAGAAACAAAAATAAATTTAAAGTAAAACTAATACTAGTTTGGGTTAAGCCGTGCGTCTTTTGAAAAAGTGTTTGACGTTTCGGATGCCATGTTGCAACCTTCGTCAGAAACAAGTTCGAAGTGACGAAATCGGTGAAGAAAACTTCATGGTATAATTAATGTTTGTAAACAAAACTAACCTTACTTAATATTCCTTCATGCTATAATTGACAGACTGAGTTCCCAACCCTTTTCTCTATTCATTTTATTCCCATATCGCCTCTCTCGTCATTCTTTGGAAGTAATGTCCGGTTCTTGCTATCACTTTAGTTTTGTCACCCTCCATGGTGTGTCCTCCTTTGTGGCAATACTGTTGGATTTTATTCAGTCGGACGTCCTACTTGTGTTTCTTGATGCAGCATTCGATGTTACGTCCAGTTTGGCCAACGTAATAGTTGATGGGATGAAGCCTGCAGGTATTTATTCGTATGCGTCTTCTTTCGATATACTCCCAGTTCCATGCCACCATCTGTCTTCCTAGTGACCAACACATCCCAGAATTTTAACTGCTTTGCAGTTTCCATTTCCATAAATTTGATCATGAATTGTTGTGAGTTTAGGTGGTCTAGAAATTCCTGGAGTTTCTCTTTTCATGATAGTTTCTGGCGAAGACCATTCCATCTCTGGTGAATAGAGATTCCACATCGAAACTTACCAAGATATCCTGGGAGTCTAACTTCATACTCTGTTTTACCTGTAAAAGGAGACAGAATCTTGGCAAGGTGTTTTGCTAGTTGATAGGTGGGAGAATTTATGGCACTGACAATAGGGCGTACTAGGACACCTGGTTTATGGATTTTGGGTAATCCATATATCCTTGGAGGTACTGGGGCCTGTACAAATAAGCTTCTCTGTGATTCTGCTGGGATAAATATATTTATAAATACATTCTTTATAGCACAATTAGAAAAATCCCCCGCACGGTTGGACGAATTTTTATTCCTCATAATGAATAGTATGGGAAATTTTATTGGGAACTATATTGAGGTTGCCGATATCGTGCAGTTCTTCAGTAGTAATACAGACGTGATGAGGCGTTGCGAATCAAGCCTCGAACGCCATATATCAGCGTAAGGACTCATCCCAAATAAGATAAATTTTTTTATAATGACATGTGTTTCTTAATTTAGTCGTAAACGAGCTTTTCGCCCAGAGCTACATAAATATCAAGAAAATAGTAAGAATTGCCAGTGCCACGTTTGCACAGCAAGGGCGATGTGCAATATTGATGAGATGCATGAATACTGGTGTTGCTTAGAAGAATTATTGCTTAAGCTGTGTGCAGATGAAACGATGGAAGAAGAGGCAGCAAACGTGCTTGAAACCCTGAGAGAATTTTATTTTACATTACAATTTGATCTGCCAGTATGTTGCAGACGCAAAGATAAGAAAAGTGTCATTCGCAAATGTATCGAGGAAGAGTTGTTGCGACCATTAAAAAAATTAGTTTTAGCAAGCGTAAGTTAATTATTAATAATAAAATTTAAATTTGTTACCCTTAATAATAAATCTTATTAGAAGTATGACAAGAAAAAGACTGAACCAGCTAAATCAATTGAACACCCAGAATCTTCAAAACCAAAATCACCGACGAAGGACGACAAACGGAAAAAACAGCGGAGTAAAATATCGTTGAGTCCTACTAGTGAAGGACTTCCAAAAGCACCCCAATCTACATCACCTAGGAAGAAGGTTCAAACAAGTGGCGGAGACGCAAAACCGTCTACGTCTAAAATGCTCATGCAAGAAGAGGAAGATGTGACAGTTTACGAACTAGCACTTGATCGTAAGTTCTCTCATAAATTAATTTATAAACTTAAAAAATCAATAAATTTTTTTCTTATATAAGACGAAAGTGAGGGTGATGAAGAAGGTGCCACAGCCCAAGAGGAACCAAGCGAGTTTATCCTCAAAATGGTCAAAAAAGGAGGAATTTACATGCCATCGAATTTAGAAGAGCTTCCCGAAGAATTAAAAAACGTATTTAAAAGAATCGCAGATGCTGCAAAAATGATAGTGGATGCTCCTCCGAGCACTTCAGCAGCTGCATCACCTGCGAAATCACGAAAACATAAACCAAAGAAAACGACCGAAGTATTAACAAAGCCCGTTCTGGTCGTCTCACCACCAGTCGAAAAGAAAATCCAAATAATTCCTCACGAAGTACAAGAAGCCATGGATGTTTTTCCACAACTGCAACGTTACGGCTTATCTGCTAAGCCTTCCAGTGTGAAGCTGACAGAACCCGATCCCGAAAGAATTAAATTGGAAGACTTAATGGCATCAGGTTCTTTCAAAAAGCATAAACAACCCGAAAATCCATTCAAATTAACACAAAAAAGACAGGCAGAGAGGGTAAAATTATCACATGCTCTACATAGATCATCTTCCATCGAAAAGCTTCCTTCAGAATTTCCTGACGATGAACCAATTATGCCATTTAAATTACAACCTCCTCAACCAAAATCCCCTCCTGGTGCAAAGCAACCGGACACCACCAAACTTTTAAAAGACGAATTGGATAAAACAACCATCGGGAAGAAACTTTTTGAAACCGTTTTTGGAGTTCAAGATGATGATAAAATCTTTCAACTTGAAGAATTGATGAAAATAGAGCAACCAGCTATCGAAATGCAAAGACCTGTTCCAGTTCCGAAGGAGCCTCGAGCAGAAGAGAAGAAAGTTAGCAAACAGTCACGCTTAGATCCGAATCTTGCAAGCAGTTCTAAGCAGACCACCCAAGCTCAGTATTACCCACAAGATGTGAAGCCCCAAATAACTTACGACGAAAAGGACTTAGAAGTTGTCGATCTATCCGAAGCTTCATACGAATACGGATTTGGTAAATTTTTTTATTTTAATTTTTTTTATTTTTATTTAATTTATTTATTTTTTTTAATAAGAATATTCAGATGATGATGAAGAGGAGGAATTAACTTACGATGAAGCTTCTGGATCAAAGTAATCAGTTTAATATTTAATAATTTTGAGTTAATTTGATTTGATTTTGTGATTATTTTGAGTTCCTACAAAGATGTTTGTAATAGTTTAATAAGTTTTTGATGTAACTAGGATATGAGTTTGAGTTAATTTTTTTATTTACTAAGTACGTTTTTGATATTAAGATTATTTTGAGTTCCTACAAAGGTGTTTGTAATAGTTTAATAAGTTTTTGATATAACTAGGATATAAGTTTGAGTTAATTTTTTTATTTACTAAGTACGTTTTTGATATTGTGATTGTTTTGAGTTCCTACAAAGATGTTTGTAATAGTTTAATAAGTTTTTGATATAACTAGGATATAACTTTGAGTTAATTTTTTTATTTACTAAGAACTTTTTTGATATTGTGATTGGTTTGAGTTCCTACAAAGATGTTTGTAATAGTTTAATAAGTTTTTGATATAACTATTTAATGATGTTTAAAACATCGTTGTGCTCGTTTTTTGGATTAATAAAGTTAATGTTCTAAGTTCTAAATGATTTTTTTTTAAATTAAAGTATAAAATTTAAAATTGATTGCAAAAGAATTATATAAAGTAAGATTTTTTACTTCTAACCGAACAACGCACGGTACACAAGGATCTTTATTACATGTAATTTGTTAACTTGTGCTACTCTAAGGTAGGGTGTTGTGTTAATAAAATTTTTGTTTTGATTAAGATTTTAGGGGCAGTATTTCCATTGATCACTCGTTCAGTTTTATTACGAGATCAATGGAAATACATACTCCCATATGGAGAAATGACACAACAAATTAATATTTTATATTAAATTAACATTTACGATAAGAAACACCTACCGCCATCTATCGATTATAAGCGTCACTCTCTCAAGTCGGTAGATTAGTGTTGTTTAAAGAGACATCATGTATGTTGTTGTAAATTTTATGTGTCACATTTTAAATTTATTGTCTATTTCAATCTGTAGTGGTAGCACTTGCTGTTTTATGTGAAGTAATTATCCGTCAAAGCTGAGTTGCTGTTATTGTTTTACTTCTACTTCTTAAAAAAATAATAAGTTTACGAAATTAAATAAATCATCAAATGGTGTCGGATGTTGAAGGGGGATTTTTATTTTTTACGTAAGTACATACAATTTTTTTTATTTTTCTTACTTTGATCTAGTTTTAATGATTCAATATTACAAGTACTTATATACTTGTACGCCTTTGATATATTTATTATCACTTGATCAATTTCGTTGGTATTTGCGGATTGACGAACCTCCTGGAATCTCAAGGTCATGATTGAGTAACTATGACCTTGAAGTTCGGTAATGAGAAGTGAAGGTCAATAACTGTATTTGTTCTTCAAGATTAATATCATTGAAGTCGGCCAAGATTATTTCTTTCATGATGCTGTTAATGATATCATTCGAGATTCGGAGCGTGCAACGAAGTCTCCCTAAGTATTGCTCATGATACTTATCTTCAGTTTTTGAAAGTATGGTGTACACTTTCTTAGCTAGATTTAGTTGCACTAACTAAAAGAGAGGAATTAAGAATGTAGACCTATTCCAGTTTCTTCCTCCATCCCGATTTGCTTCTTGCGGATTTTTGAATTTTTGCTTTTATATAGGTTAAGAGGAGAGTTGAGACTTCGTGGAGGTGAGAGGAAGATATTAAGAAGAATAGAGTGTAACAAGGATAATCGACGAAATAAGAGCGAGAGAAAACATTTAATAACTAATAAGTAAAAATAAAACTAAGATTAGGACAACTAACTAAGGTAAGAATGAACGTAAACGACTTGGTCAAAGAGATATGGGATTTATTTTTAATATTAATTTTATTTTCTATATTTTGATCAAAGTAAACTACTCTCAAAACATTAGTGTTTAAATATAAATTTAAAAAAGTATATGGAGCAATTTGTAATAATTTTAATCTTAAATCTCGTCCAACTTTATATTTATGGATATGACTTGTTCATGAACGCCTACTTAAACGATTATAATATTTTTATGAATTTTATAAAATTTGAATTTAAAAAAAAATTATTTATTACAATAATTTTAATTATAAAAATAGATAGTATTTTTTTAATTGGTTTAAATATTAAGTTATGTATTCGTTGAAGCATTGGTGTGAATAGGGTTGCATAAGAACGCAATATAAATATAGTAAATTATAGTCCTGCTTCCGCAGCGTATTATTGGACCTATCCATGTATATTTTAGGGAGATAGGCGGTCTAAAGCGGGTCATTCTTAAAATTGACGTACTACATTCGCACGTCCGTATACATACATTTTTTTTAATATATATTTTTTGATTCATTCAAGGGGAAGTGTTTGATATTTTTAATCAGATTCGTTGGTATCCTTTAAAAAAAATGGAGTCCTCCGGATTGAGTGGGTAAGAAAGCAAAAGTGTTGTATATAATAACAATAAAAATAATGAAAACTACTAATCATTTTTTGTTACGATTTTCCAATCCGACTGATTTTAGTAATAATAATCCAATGACTAATAGCAAGGTTTTTTTGAGTGGAAAAAAATTTCAGGTTATGAACGGGTTATTTTTAGAAAGACTTTTCACGAAAACGTCGGTATCTTAGTTTTCTATGAATCATTTTATGTTTGTTGGTTAGCGTTAGAGGGCGCCGATAAAAACGTGACGATTTCTTATTGCCAGTTAAGTTTGCTTCGATAGATGGCGCCAATTGTAGCCGGCGTCGCGACGTCCGACGTCGTTTCTGTGGATACGTCAAATTGTCAAATAGTAGTTCGGGCGGAGACCGAAAATACTTGGAGTATTACCCGTTTCGTCGGGTGTACGATGTAAAGGGCGAGGGTAAATAGTGCCGTTCCGTTCCGTTTACGGGTGGTGCGTCTGTAATGCTTATAAGTGGCCGAATATGGAGGCAGGAACAATGTTAAAAAGAGAACTTTGCGTTTGTTATGGACTCAAATGCTGCATATTCACCAGGTCAGTACCCCTTCCCTGAAACCTAAGTATGTATTCGTTTCAAGCGCTAACTTGATTTAACCAATCGTTTATTTTCTTACATTGAAAAACATTTCCAGGGAAACAATGTTTGAATAAGTTGGATGTTTTAAATATATTTTTTTTACTTGTTTAGTTGGCAAATCAGATAGGATTAATATCGTTTCGGTTCGTTTGATTTTTTTTCAAATTTTCTCAAACCACGCCCTTTCAAATCGATATAAAGTAACATGTTCGCTGCCCTTTGAAGTTGCAGACCCGCTCACTCGTGAAGAAAGCTCACAGCTTCCTCCGGCCCACGTCCGCATCTGATATGATGTGCAGAATGTTGATATCCACCAGAACTCGGGATGACCTGCTTTAATTTTTTTTGTTCATCCCGCTGGTGACGTCCCTTGTGACGTCCGAAGGCCTTTGTTTTCCTCTTTTTCACCCGGTTTCCGCGTTTTCCCCCAACACGTGCTCCGTTCTCAGTTTACGTACCGCTGCGAAAAAAATGGACTATTATTAATTTTTTAGGTCACCGTTCAAGAATTATCCATTAATTTATTTTTCAATCTCGATTAATCATTCAATTTAATCTAATAGAGCTATAACTCATTTACAAGACTTGTTATTGCTTAGTAATTTATTAATCACTCGATGATGGTTATGTGTTAATAACGAGCAACGTCGATAAAACCCGTTTTACTGCCCTAGTGTAATAATACAATCTTATTGATAGGTTTTGAATCATTATTTTGGATAATTAAATGATTTAATTGGTGAATTTGATAATACGGTTTTAAATTATGTTTAATCGGTAGTCGGAAATGAGCAGGTGGGTGCTTATTTGTTGAAAATTTGGGTCGGACGAGTTGAAAATAATATTGCGCAGACTCGCGAATTTGTTGATCCACCCTCGCGCGATCGCCTCCACTTCTTCGCTGTTTCCCAGCGGACGCGAGATGAGACGTACGTTTAGTGCCCCTCTTTCGACGATTATCGAAGTCGAACACGAATCAGGCTCTCGTAAGTTTGGTGTAAAGAATCGCAACATTTCTCCTTCAACCCTCTTCTGTTGCATGTACCCTAAAAAACAATTAAAAAAATTAAATTAAATTAAAATCAACTCTTATTATATATATATATATATTATTTTATTCATTTATTTAATGATATTAAAAGTACTAATACGTAATAATAAAAGGATGGGGTGTTGATTAAGTGAGGAATGTTTTGTGGAAACTTCAATTTTACCTTGTTTCGAGTTTCTACAAATTATGTGTTGACCGTGAAACATAAAATAAACTTTATAAACGAATAACTATGCTGATATAATATAACTTTAAAATATTCCATATAAAATAAATCAAATTTCTTTGTTACCCAAAACCGAGTTGATTTATTAACGTCACATAACATCGTAAAGCTTTGATCATCGAAGCATAAAATCGCGACATTATCTTATCAATAAAGTTTTAGAAGCTGAAAAGCGTCGTATCGATGCACACTATATATATACGTGTCGTTTGATAGAGAAAATTTTCAGCTTGATCAAATAAATGTGGAATCTTTAAGAAAAAATTTCAAGAAAGAATTTTTCAATGTCACTTTGAGAATCAGTGAGATATAAAAGTCAGCGATGAATCCAATAAAAATCAGTGAGGGAGCTCTTTTATAAATATAGTAAACATATTTTGATGTTTTTCCTTAAAGAGAAAAGCATGGTATAAAATAAGGAAATATAAGAAAATTGAAATGTAAGCTTAGGGAAAGTTAATAAAGGTAATAATCGTAATACAACGTGGGTCTCGCATGAAATATGCTAATACGAGCTTCAACGTTGGTATGAAGGGGCTGAAACAATCGATTCGAGATGAATATTTCCATGGTGAGGCCGCAGAGACGTGGGGAATCCTCTTTTTGTGAAACGTGTCACGAAATATTTAATATATCTGTTTATCTCGAAGTATGCCGGGAACGGTGCATTATAAATGTTTCCGAGATCCTTTTATCGAAACCTCGGACGTTCGAGCATGTGCCGGATACAAAAGGCGTTATAATACAGTCAGTTTATTAAAACAGCTGGGATAATTTCTGTACGATGAATCGAAATTCGGTTAAAACGTATCTGTCAATGCGAACACTCTCGTGATACTCTCCTGTCACCGGGTGATCGGATTAACGGAATTCGAATCAACGGTAATCAACACGTTGCACACACGGATTCGAAATAATTCCGATGATGAACGGATTTTGATTTTAGTATAACAGAGAGTAGGCCAGATTATAGCAAAACTCGCGTACAGACATTATTTAGAACCGCAAGGTCAATATTCCCCGGTCATGTATGTATATACACGCTGCTCTTGACACTCAAAACAAAATTATTCACATATTTGATGGTTAAAATGCCACATAATTAAACGTACGTTCTAGAGAATTTATTGGAAATGGTTATTGAACATTGTTTAAATATTTTTTGGTACGCTGTTTATTTAATGATAGGTAATATGAATAGATAAAGCAATAATATTAATTAATATCTTTTTTTAATTAATTTTATAAGATGGAAATTGAAAATGAGCATATATAAATTGAATATTAATCTTATTTAAGCTATCGCCCTGAAGCGAAGCTTATTACATACGCTTTTGAAAAGCATTCATTAATAGCACGACTGTTAACTGCATTTAGATCTTAGCAGATAGCGTAGTAATGCGATTACTACCCTTGAACTTTAACCTTCCCGCGGGGTTACTGTAATTTGCCGTTTGAAAGTCCGTCTCCGCGTTCAGCTTCCGAGTCTTCTTCGCGCGATTTTAAATTTAAACTCGACACTGATAGTCTGTCGTTTAGGGTTGCAGTATGAGCTTAAGGAGGTTGCAGCCGGCCATTTGTACCCGTTGGATCAAGGGGGGCTTGCTGGGTGTCCATGGAAGCTGCGGGGCGGCGATCAAGTTAGTGCAAAACCGGCCGCGATGAGTACAGTGGGTGGTGGGGTGGCCAGCCCAGGGCAGCCGGGGGCCAGGACCCCCACTGCCCCCAAGAGACCCATCCGTAGAGGGGGGAAGCCCCCGCCGGACAGGCCGCAGAGGGCGCTCTTTTGTTTGCATCTGAAAAACCCGGTCAGGAAGCTCTGCATAGATGTTGTCGAATGGAAGTATCCTTCTAAAACTACATACATATCTGATTACATTTATTTTCGAAAAGTTTTTTTTTCTTATCTAGTATAGGACCTTTGAATATTTAATTTTGGTAACAATTTTCGCCAATTGCGTTGCCTTAGCCGTCTACACGCCGTTTCCCAATGGCGATTCGAACGACACCAACGCCGTTTTGGTTAGTTATTTCAAGACTTCATTGTTTTTCAAACTTCAACTCTGTTTGTTTCTTTAATTCAAGGAGAAGATTGAATATATATTTTTAGTAATTTTCACGGCCGAATGCGTCATGAAGGTCATTGCTTACGGTTTCTTACTGCATCCGGGTGCTTACTTAAGGAACGGATGGAACTTGCTAGATTTTATGATAGTTGTAATAGGGTAAGTAATTTATGTAACCAATCCAAATCATAATTAATTCTATTACTACGTTTTAGAATGATAACTACGATATTGACTAATCTTACAAAAGACACATTTGACGTTAAGGCTCTTAGAGCGTTTCGGGTACTAAGACCATTAAGATTAGTATCAGGGGTACCCAGTTTGCAAGTCGTACTTAATTCCATACTTCGTGCCATGGTGCCTTTATTACACATCGCTCTGTTAGTACTATTTGTTATCATCATTTACGCCATTATCGGGTTAGAATTGTTCTCAGGAAAACTCCACAACACTTGTCTAGATAACAAAACAGGTAATTATTTAAATTTTTTAATCAAATGTCATCTTGATTATTGTTGGAGATATCACAAAATGTTATAGAAGGAAACTTGCTTCACACTTTATGTTATCTGCCATATCCTAAAAAAACAATTTAGCTTCAAATATGTTAGATAAATGGGCCAGATGAAAAATTGATTAATTTTTGTTGTGACATAAGAAATAAGCCCTAAATGCAATAAATCTATCCTGCTTGAAATTTATGGAAAAAATAATATCCCACAATATAACTTGGGGCGGCCGACGTCTTCGAAGTCGGCCGAGATTATTTTTCGTAACTTGCTTGTAATTTATGGAAGAAATAATCTCGGCCGACTTCGAAGACGTCGGCCGCCCCAACTTAGGTTCGTGATAGAAGTAATCTCGGTCGACTTCGAAGATGTCGGCCGCCCCCAAGTATCATNTGATTAATACATTCAAAAATAAGGCGTGTTTTAATTTTAAATGGAAAAATTGGCGAAACGGCGGTGGAAGTTCTGTGGGTATATAGTTGTGGAGAGGGGATAGGGGGGATACGAAAACGGACGTTCTTAGGGTCGACCATTGTTCGTCGTACGACGGCCGAAAGACGTTTTTTTTATCAGAGGTCGACCTTGAATCCGACCGTACCGCATGAAATCTATCCCAGCAGCAGCCTACTTGATACAAGCCCCCCGTCTCTCAAACCCACTACGATCTTTCTCATTTTAAACTTGGCTACCACAAACATTTCAAGTCTTTTCTTCTTCGTTATCATTAAAGATTTTCATCAACAACAGACGTTCGTCTTATAAATAAACATAATAATTAATGGAAATAAACATACAAAACAACCTAACATAAAGAGAAACTGTTTTATATAATATATGATATACAGAGTGTTTATAAAGTAAGCTTAATCACTTAACCTTAAATAAATGTAAAATGCCTAAAATTGTCTGTATACTTCTATGTTAGTATTTGGGAATGTAACGAATATAATTTCTTAGTTTTTTCCAGATTTATATCTGACATGAGATGTTTGAAATACTTGGAAATGAGTGGAAAAGTGTAAGTTATGTTAACGAAGAAAGTAAAACTGATTTTGATGGAGATGAGATACTTAAAAAGTGTTCACATAAAAAAGTGACAAAAAATACTAATAGTATTATCGACAACTTCCAAGATTCGGTCGCTTCGAGGGAAAAAATTGTCGATCATTTCAAAAAAAAAGATATTTCCACGAGGATCTTTCAAGAAATTAATTTTATAGCGAATTTTGAAAATTAATAACGTATTTCAAAAATTGATTATATTAATTTAGTTTACAATTTTATTTTGTTTACAGTCTCGAAAGTCTTTTAGACCTCACAAAGTAATTCTCCAAGCATCATGAACAATACAATAAATCTATCCTGCTTGAAATTTATGGAAATTCCATAAATTTCAAGCAGGATAGATTTATTGCATTGTTCATGATGCTTGGGGCGGCCGACGTCTTTGAAGTCGGCCGAGATTATCTTTCCATAAATTTCAAGCAAGTTATGAAAAATAATCTCGGCCGACTTCGAAGACGTCGGCCGCCCCAAGTATCATGAACTATGCATTAAGTCTATTCTGCTCGAAATTTATGAAAAAAATGATCTCGGCCTAAATATTGTTCATGATACTTGGGGCGGCCGACGTCTTCGAAGTCGGCCGAGATTATTTTTTCCATAAATTTCAAGCAGGATAGATTTATTGCATTGTTCATGATGCTTGGGGCGGCCGACGTCTTCGAAGTCGGCCGAGATTAATTCTTATATTAGGTATATAACTTGGGGCGGCCGACGTCTTCGAAGTCGGCCGAGATTATTTCTTCCATAAATTACAAGCAAGTTACGAAAAATAATCTCGGCCGACTTCGAAGACGTCGGCCGCCCCAAGTTATGTTGTGGGATATTATTTTTTCCATAAATGAGAAAAATAAATAAGAAGTAATCTCGGCCGACTTCGAAGACGTCGGCCGCTCCAAGCATCATGAACAATGCAATAAATCTATACTGCGTGAAATTTATGGAAAAAATCTTCTATAACATTTTATCATATCTCCAATAATAGTTGAGATATCTGTTGTAACAACTAAACTCTTTATTAAAATTATTTTAATAAAAGGAAAATTCATGGACGAACCACATCCTTGCGGTGAATCTGGGTTTCAATGTAAAGAACTTGACTCAGACAACAGCTTTTACATATGCGATGATAACGGAACTTGGGAAGGTCCTCATTACGGGATCACTAACTTCGACAATTTCGGCTTGTCGATGTTAACAGTCTTCCAGTGTATTACACTAGAAGGATGGACTGAAGTTTTATACAACGTAAATATTCCATAAAGAAATCTCAAATTAATTTCATTTCAACCATTTTAGATTCAAGATTCTCTCGGGGGATCATGGCAATGGTCCTATTTCGTATCCATGGTTATATTCGGAGCCTTTTTCGTTATGAATCTTATTTTGGGTGTACTCAGCGGAGAATTTTCCAAAGAAAGGGAAAAAGCTAAAGCGAGAGGCGATTTTCATAAATTACGCGAGAAACAACAGATCGAGGAGGATCTTCGCGGTTATCTCGACTGGATCACGCAAGCCGAAGATATCGAACCGGAAGGAGAGGACCAAGTGAACCAAGAAACGAAAGTAAAAGCGCCCAACGAAATGGAAAGTACGGATCAGTTGGGGGAAGAAACCGAGATTCAACAAGAATCGTGGTTTAAAAAACGAAAAAAGGATTTTGATAGAATTAATAGGAGGATGAGGAGGGGTTGTCGAAAAGCTGTTAAATCGCAAGTTTTTTATTGGCTTATTATTATTTTGGTGTTTTTAAACACGGCGGTGTTAGCCACGGAACATTACGCTCAACCTAATTGGCTGGACGAATTTCAAGAATACACAAATATGTTCTTTATCGCCCTATTTACTTTGGAAATGTTGTTAAAGATGTACAGTTTAGGTTTTCAAGTAAGAAAAATGTTTTATCTTAATTCTTAGTTATTATTTGTTTCAATTATTTTTAGGGTTACTTCGTATCATTATTTAATCGTTTTGATTGTTTCGTTGTTATTGGCAGCATCACCGAAACGGTGTTAACTCGAACGCAAATAATGCCTCCTTTGGGCGTTTCTGTACTGAGATGTGTTAGACTATTACGGGTGTTTAAAGTTACAAAGTACTGGCGATCGTTATCTAATTTAGTAGCATCGCTATTAAATTCCATACAATCGATTGCGTCGTTATTGCTACTATTGTTTTTATTCATTGTTATATTTGCCCTGCTGGGGATGCAAGTCTTTGGCGGGAAATTCAATTTCGATAAAACGAGCCCAAAACCGAGGTCCAATTTTGACAGTTTCTGGCAAAGCCTACTCACCGTCTTTCAGGTACAATTCAAATCCTACTCAATTTTATTTATTTATTATTTCGTATCAGATTTTAACAGGTGAAGACTGGAACCAAGTAATGTATGATGGCATCCAAGCTTTCGGCGGAGTTCAAGGTCTAGGAGCTTTGGCGTGTATATATTTTATAATCTTATTCATCTGCGGTAATTGTATCCTTTAATCGAACTTTTTCGGCGAAAACAAATCGTATATTCCTTAACTTCTTGAAAAGATATACTGCTAAATGTCTTCTTGGCTATCGCCGTGGACAATTTAGCCGACGCAGAATCATTAACAGCGATTGAAAAAGAAGAAGAGGAAGCAGCTGAGAATCAAAATAAATCAAAAAGTCCTACTCCTGTTGACGAGGAGTTAGAAATTGATGATAGAAGCCTAGAGGAAGATCTTGATGATGTGCAATATAACTCGGAGAGGTGAAAACTTTTTAATAAAATTTAATAAAATAAATTTTAAAATTAAATTTAACAGGGAGGAAGATGAGGAGGAAATTGAATCAGAAACAAAAGTAAACATTGACAACGAAGAAGAAGAGGCGTACGAAGAACAAGAAAGCGTTGAACAGGGTAAGTTCGGTGTTATATATTGAAACGGGACGGATACTGGACACGAAGGTGAACCCGGCAACAATTTGTGTAACGTGGTAAAAAATATGCGTGTGTGTTTTTATGTGTTTGTTTGCTGTATGTATATAGTTAGGATGTTTGACGTTATTTTTTAGACGACATGGAAATTGAGGTATCAGCAAGACCGAGGAGACTGTCGGAGGTAAACATCGTAACTAAAGTGAGGCCGATTCCGGAAGGCAGTGCGTTTTTTATCTTTTCCAACAAAAACAGGTATGTGTCTATCATGAAGACGTAGCTGCAAGAGAGGATCTTCTCGTAAATAGATGGACTTGGTTGTGGTCTTCGTGTCTTCTCTTCTTCTCTTTGTGGGTTTTATTATTGTTTAGGTATCACTCTATCTTCTTTCCAGTCCTTGAGGTTAAAGGTAACGCTGTCTCTTTAATTAGTCCTTAAAGTCTTGCAGCTATGTCGTAGGTTGTAGTAGATATGCCGTTTAATGCGTTTCGTGTGTGGAAATTTCAGATGTCGAGCAAGATACCGTTGACGCGCGACTTCGACGTATGTCTGAGGTTAAAAACAACGCGCAGAAAGTGCCTATTCCTCCGGCCACGTCATTCTTCGTGTTTTCCCAAACGAACAGGTGACCCAGTGATTTCTGCGCGTAGTTGTCTATAGAAATGCGATCGACAGCGAAGCCCCCCGTTTGGCTTTTACTCCACCTTCCCAACCACCGTAGCGCACGGCGCATTCGATGTTTTTCTTTTTTTTTACCATCGTTTTGGATGTGGTAGATTAGATTTTGAATAGATTTTTTGGGTAGCTCCTTCATCACTCGGTGTTCATGATTTTGATCGATGTTTTCAGTGTTTTTATTTTTGGATTTTTCGAAGCTCTAATATTGTAAATAACAAAAAAAAAACATTTTTTGCACAGTTCTTTCATAATAATAAATGTGAATCGCCTCGAAATGAAGCGCTATAATATAAACCGTAATTTTGTTTGTAAATAATTTTCAAGGTTTCGCATTTTCTGTCACTGGTTGTGCAATCACAGCGTGTTCGGGAACGCAATTCTGGTGTGCATCATGGTATCATCCGCTCTTCTTGCGTTAGAAGATCCTATAGACGCCGACTCCACCCGAAATGCCGTAAATGATTAAATAATAATTAATGACTTAAATAAATAATTTGTCTTTTAGATTCTGCAATACTTCGATTATGTATTTACGAGTATATTCTCGTTAGAATTAGTACTGAAGACTGTTTCATGTGGGGTAATTCTACATGACGGTGCCTTTTTGAGATCTGCGTTCAATGTGTTGGACCTTGTTGTGGTGATGGTGTCGATCGTGTCTATATTTAGGTAAGTTTGTGAATGGCTGGGAAATGATTGTTGTGATATGCGGGAATTTTAGCAAAGCGGATTTGTCGGTGGTGAAGATTTTGAGGGTACTGAGGGTGTTGCGTCCGCTAAGGGCAATCAATCGAGCTAAGGGACTGAAGGTAATGTAAAAAAGAAATCGCGGGTCGCTTTTCCGTTTGGCTCTCTTGTTCTCTTGCGTTGAGTGAAGTTAGGTACAGAGTGGTGGAGGCAGGAGCCAATTTAACTGTCTATCTCTCTCCAGCATGTAGTCCAGTGCGTCATAGTTGCCGTTAAAACCATCGGAAACATTGTGCTGGTCACCTGTCTTCTGCAGTTCATGTTTGCTGTTATTGGAGTGCAATTGTTCAAGGTACAGAAGAGATGATAAGAGACACGTGTACAGATATAAATACCATTGTAAAAAGTGCTGGGTATCGTTGTTTTATTTTACTTTGAGGTTGATGTTTCAGCCCCGAAACGAGAAATAACCCTGCATGCAAGCTGTTTGTGCGTCTCAACAAGTTACGATTGCGTTTTTGCGTACCACGTGTGCCGTAATCGCCCCCTCCCATTATCTTCCGAACAATTTAGCACTTGTAGTCATATCTAGGGTAGTCCCGGCCGGCCCAATTTGGCATCCCTCAGCGCCCCCAGCGCCGCCCACATCTCAAGGAGTTCCAGTCGGAGCACACCGTCCGCTCTTGTTTCTTACTTGTAACTAATCGTTTTGCGGCCAGTCCAACGCTAACAATTGACTAAATCCTGCCACACCACGCCGCCCTGTGACCAATTCAAGAGAAAAGAAGCACTTCTCGTTCTACCTTATAATCTTTTATGACTGACGATGTTTATTGGTTTTGTTCCATTTCCCTCATGGCTAGTATGTTGTCAAATGCGTGATTGTAGCCATAAAGACTATTGGCAATATCATGCTGGTTACCTACCTCCTGCAGTTCATGTTCGCTGTCATTGGAGTGCAGTTGTTTAAGGTAATACGTCGTGCTTGCGTCTGCCGCACTTACAGTAGATCTGCATGTTAATAATCATAGTTTTAACAGGCTGTCGCGCTCTCTGGCTACGAATAAAATACACACCTCTCTCATCTGAAATTACCTTCTGCCTGTTACTACAATAAAACAAAAACTTTTATTTTTCGACCATTTTTACCTTGTCGTTCGTGATAAAATCGAGGTGTATGAGCTAAGAGAAGCGCGCGACGCCATAACAGTTGTAGATTCCATTCGCGAAACTATCTGTATGTCTACCCAACTGTCTGCATCCATATTAGTTGGTAAGCTTTATTCTTGTCTATTTTTTGATGACCGACGTCCTCGTTTTTTGACCAGCACGTTGTTTTTTGCCGTTTATTTTATGATTTCTCACACAGCACCAACAAACAACGAACAAAATTACAGTACATACTAGTTATGACTACAAGTGATGCGTACAAATGACGGGTTTTTTTGATATGTTTATTTGTTGTTTCGCATGAGCTGCATGTGAATTACCGCATGTTTACACACAGGGTGTTTCAAATACGAAAGTAGCGCACAAAGCTACTTACGTATAGCTATACATAGCAAGCTTGTTGATGATTTGTTTGTTTTGTTGGAAACACCCTGTAAGTATTTTTTCATAAGATATACGATTCGTTACAATATTTTTTGTTTTGGGTTTAGGGAAAATTTTCGTATTGCACGGATCGTTCGAAATTAACACCCTTAGAGTGCAAGTAAGTTAATTATTACTTATTAATTATGAAGGTTTTACTCGGTCTTATTAATTCGCAGTGGAACGTACTTAGTTTTTAAAGACGGTGATACAACAAAGCCCGAAAAAGAAGAACGAATGTGGGCTACGCAAAAATTCCACTTCGACAACGTGGCTAAAGCCATGTTAACGTTATTCACGGTGTCAACGTTTGAAGGGTGGCCAAATTTGTTACATTACTCCATCGACTCTAACGGCGAAGATAAGGGACCAATACATAATTACCGACCCATCGTGGCCGTTTATTACATTATTTACATCATCATCATTGCGTTCTTTATGGTGAACATCTTCGTTGGTTTCGTTATCGTTACGTTCCAAAACGAAGGTGAGCAGGAATACAAGAACTGCGAATTAGATAAGAATCAACGTAATTGCATCGATTTTGCGCTCAAAGCCAAACCGGTTCGACGGTATATACCCAAACATCGGATACAATACAAAGTCTGGTGGTTTGTTACTTCCAAACCTTTTGAGTATACAATATTCGTTCTTATTCTTTTAAACACTATAACTTTGGCTATGAAGTTTCACGGTCAGCCAACCGAGTATTGCGATGCATTGAATATTCTTAATATGATTTTTACGGCCTTTTTCGCATTGGAGTTTGTTTTTAAACTTGCTGCGTTTCGATTTAAGGTAATATAATTATTTTTTTTTTAATAATTTTTTTTTAATTTGTTATTTTTAGAATTATTTTGGTGATGGTTGGAACATATTTGATTTCTTAATAGTTCTCGGAAGTTTCATTGATATAATTTGTTCTGAAGTTAAAAAGGATTCATGTACAAATAAAGTAAGATGCGGTCTTTTATTTGCTACTTATAACTTGAAAACTTATTTTAGTTTGAAAAAGGAAGTTTCATCCCGATCAATTTTCTTCGAGTTTTCCGAGTAATGCGAATGGTAAAGTTGCTGAGTAGAGGAGAAGGTATCAAAACTTTGCTTTGGACGTTTCTAAAATCGTTTCAAGCTTTGCCTTACGTCGCATTGTTGATTGTAATGTTGTTCTTTATTTATGCGGTAATAGGGATGCAGGTAAGAATAAAAACGTTTATAAGAACGATCGAAATTTGAAGAAACTTTTCTTTTTCTAGATGTTTGGGAAAATTGATACTGATCAAAACGATAGCTCCATAGATCGAAACAATAACTTCTCGTCTTTCTTCCAAGCGGTGCTGGTGCTGTTTAGATCGGCTACGGGGGAGAGTTGGCAAGAAATAATGTTGGACTGTGCGGGACCGGAAATACCATGTGCCAAGGAAGTTAAAAACCAGACCAAATGCGATTCCGTAATAGCGTATCCGTATTTTATTTCATTCTATGTTTTATGCTCTTTCCTAGTAAGTCTCATGACCGATTAATACACATCAACAATTTGCATTCAACCTTTTTACGAGCACGCCAAAAATGATTTTCATTCCAGATCATCAACTTATTCGTCGCCGTCATCATGGATAACTTTGATTATTTAACTAGGGATTGGTCTATACTCGGCCCGCACCATTTAGACGAATTTATTCGACTTTGGAGCGAATACGATCCGGACGCAAAAGGTCGCATAAAACACTTGGACGTGGTAACGCTTTTGCGAAAAATATCACCACCTCTAGGATTCGGAAAGCTATGTCCTCATCGCGTGGCTTGCAAACGATTGGTTTCGATGAATATGCCGCTGAATAGCGATGGAACAGTGTTGTTTAATGCAACTTTATTCGCCGTCGTTAGAACGTCGCTGCGAATAAAGACGGAGGGAAACATCGATGATGCCAACGCTGAACTTAGGACTGTTATTAGAAAAATATGGAAAAGAACTAGTCCTAAGCTTTTAGATCAAGTCGTTCCTCCGCCGGGAGTTGATGACGAGGTTACGGTGGGGAAATTCTACGCTACTTTCCTCATTCAAGACTATTTTAGGAGATTTAAAAAGAGGAAAGAACAAGAGTTGAAAGATGGAGATAAAGAAGCGCATAATACGGTTACTTTACAAGCTGGATTGCGTACTTTGCACGAAGCCGGGCCGGAATTGAAGAGAGCTATTTCTGGAAACTTAGATGAATTGATCGATGACAATCCTGAACCAATGCACAGGGTAAATAGTTCTTAAAGTATTATTAAATTATTCTTATTTCTTGTTTCCACAGAGGAATCATTCGCTGTTTGGTAGTGTTTGGTCATCGATGAGAAGAGGGCATAGTTTTAATAGAGCAAAGTCTTTGAAAGTAAATTCAACTCAAATCAAAATAACACCCGCTTCTAGCGCCGATTTTCTTCATTATAACTCCAATCAACGGTTAACATCGGATAGGATGAATCACGTGTCTAAGCCTGTGGCCAATAGGTCAGTAGCCTCGTTACATCAAGATGACGGAATGGACGAGGAAATACCGTTGAGGTCATTGACGAACGTATACAATGGGGAGCTAGAAAAAAATAACTACCAAGTTATCGAGTAAGTGGTGAGAGCGTTGGTTAAGCTATCTCTTCTTTGGTGGTGGGTGATGACGAATGACTGGTGTTGCAAATGAGTCGCTTTCGTTTGCGGTTAACATGTTTTAATTTGACTTTCAGTAAATCTGGCTTTCTCCATCCAAATTACAACGGTAAGCGTATCGAGGGTGTACAATGTTTCATGAGTGGTGTGGTTTTGAGTTCTTGAATGAATCGAGCACCGTCGGACGATCTACTCGGGGAGGATGGGGGAGTGGATCGTCGGACGGCGCATTCTGTGTTAAGTGGTCCTTCGCGTGGTGACGTGGTGTTTGCTACAGTCTGCAGGGCGACCACACTGAGCTGATGCCGCCAACGCCACCACCGCGACGCGTGTTGCGCAGCTTTGGAGGTCTGGGGTTGGGCCTGACACTCGGGAGCAGTTGCATGCAGTCCGTGCCGCCATCGCCTGTGCGTCAGCGGGGCCCCGGCGCCGCCGGCTCCGGTTTCGGCCGGATCGCAAGCGGGCTCAAGCTAGCCCAAGCACAAGCTATGGCTGTAGCGGGCTTCCTACCAGAGTCCCATCCAGAGCCGCTTTGTTGGCCGGGCGCATCTGAAGAGGGCATCGCACGCCATTCGCATTGCGCCATTTTAAATCACAGGGCTTCCTTCCATGGCAGAGGTTAGCCCCTTCTTCGCTCACTGCCGCACCGTCGAAACCTATCCAACCCACCCTTATCTAACCACACTATCCTTAAACGTAACTAAATACAAGCGCACACGCGCCACCTTTATCGAACTGTCAAATATTTTAACACATTTTACACTTTACTACATCATTTCCACACATTACAGTTCTTTAAAGGTAACATTACGAATCCTACAATAGTCACTTCATTGCATGACTTCCCTTCCTTTGATTGACCTGCAGTGCATGCACCTGTCTAAAATTTGAAATACTCAAATAATATAACATACGAAACGCGTCCGTTTCAGCGACTGGTGAATCAAACGGTCACGTGGCATCGGAAAGGCTGTCCCATTCGTTGCCCGGAAGTCCATCCGATCGGAAAGTCACCTCTTTCGAGGTGATAGGATCTGCCGAGAGTCTGGTCGGACGGATTTTGGCCGAACAAGGCCTGGGTAAGTACTGCGATCCAGACTTCGTACGATACACGTCGAAGGAAATGCAAGAAGCCCTGGACATGACGCAAGAGGAGATGGACCGTGCCGCGCACAGCCTGCTACAGCAGGAAAGAAGCATGGCGAATACGCACACACCCCTACAGAGACAGCAAAATTTATAGCAGAGGCCAACTGAACCCGTAGCGGTTACGTAACCCAGCCAACATACCAAGTGCCTGAGATTTTCTTCTGGTCCAAGAAGACTAATAATAATGATAATAAGTAATAATAACACACGCAATGATGACGATGATTATTATTATTGTTTCATTTGTACCGTGTAGTTTTTTAATCTTTACTTGAGAAAGAATGAGCAAAGCAAACGGCGTTGCTCGGCGGATTTTTGTTTCGTTCCATTGTACAGGGTGTTTGAAAAAGGTTACTTGAAGGGGATGCGTAACTAAGAAAATATGTAATTAAAAAAAACTTTTTGTAATATCCGATGTGTCAACAAACTATTATAAAAAAAAGTAAATCCTATTCATTCATATGACCTCACGATTCTCTGTATCTCTCTCTCTCTCTCTCTGTCATCCATATAGTTAGTATTTGTATAAAGCGACGTCTCGTTTGACAGCTATACTGGTATCGATACTAACAACTTGTAATAATGAACATAAATTTAAAGAGGTAATTATTATTAAAAAAAATTATTATTAAAAGAATTATTATTAAAAAAAAGAAAGCCTATATACATTTACAGGTTCGTTGCGATCGTTACGTTTTTGTTTCATATACATAAACAATTTGTTGATACTTGTCGAATAGTTTACCATATTAATAACCTGTTCGCACAACGCCACAAGTGCTGTACGTACCTGCGATGGTTATGCGAACAGAATTTATTTCAAAAGAAACATTGTTAAATAATTTATGTTCTGTGTTTTAAAATATTTCAAATAAGTTTAAAATAAAAGTCATATAAAAATTTATTTGTTGTTTTTATGCTCAAAATTCCTAGATATTTAAAAAAAATAAATAAAATCTCAAAAAATAGGTAATAAATAAAAACACATCATTGCGGTTTTTGTGGAGTTTTAATCTTTTTTTTTGTTTTTTTAGTGTTACTGGAAGACAATAAGTAATCACACTTCCAAAAACACAATTTACAAGCTAACTTAATCAGTTATAGACAATCTGTAATGACTAACAGTAAATGTAGTGTCAGAAATTAATTAATTGGGTGCCAATGAAATTAATAAGTTTCTACTTCACGTTGCTACAACTTGCCAGTGTAATTTTTAAAAATAATTTCTCACACTACAGCAACGTTATGTTCAGCCTTACCTAATAGTTGCGTATGTAATTATACTTATAAGATAACATCGTTTCTTTTTTTGCTAGTTCATCAAATAAAAAATCACTCTATACGATTATTATTAAAAAATATTAAATTTCTCTTATCAATTAAATTTAGTAATTACTTACTTTATAAAAAGATGATTCTGTATGTGGTGCTTGAAAATTGTTCGGGTGACGTTAACGCAAATAGAAAATGTTTCGATTTTAAGTAACTTGAATTTTTTAGTTTTAAAACGAACGCCTAAACACAATAAAATGAAAATGAAATTTCCTGCACATTGAAATTTAAACTATAAAGATTAAATCTTAACATAGTACCACAATTTAAATAATATGTATTAAAGCGGCCAGTTCCTAGTCTCAGTATCTGAAAAAATTGGAACTGCCCGCCAAATTAATAATATCAATAAACTTTCAAGTTAAACATCAAAAAAAAACGAAAAAGCTAACGTAGAGGGCTAATGTAAATATACTTTGTATAACATTATGAGCGGTTTTCCTTATTTATGTATATTATGTATAGCTATATATATATATTTATAAACCTATGTACACATAGTAACCCAATTATAGAAAAAAAGAAAAAACGTAAACAACTACCAAAAAAACTCGTGAACAGACTCTTCGCTTCTGACAAAAAAAAAATTGTGGCTAAAGTTAATGATTCTCGAAAAACGTATTTAACCATCTGTATAAGGCAAAAATGGCACTGAGTATAGTTTTCCCTTTCGCTATTTACATTATGAGGTGGACAAGGTCGTCCGATCACATTTTCCCCTCAGTGCTTTTTCTTACGGTACTGTACATTCGGGATTTTAGAGCTACTTAACCAATATTACAGTGACGTTAAGTTGTCTTTCCGCCCATCAAGCGTTTGCCTGCGCAGTCTCTTTCTTACCTATTATCGAAACTATTACACTAAGACCGTTCGCATACTTGTTTTCTTTTTTAAATTAACATTTCATTTATTACTTACTCTCAGTATCCCTTTGTCTCCACAGCTCCGTTCTGTTACGAGTATTGTTACGTGAACGCGCCGATCCAAAAGAGTATGTACGAGACCTGTCTCGACCAGATAAATATCCTGTTGAAGCCGGAGCACTTGTTCCGGACTGATCACGTATATCATTCCTTCAAAAAATATTTTTTTATACATTACTTTTATTTTTAATTTTAAATTTACCTGAGTTTTGTATTATTACTACCCGAGTTTCGACGATCATCATTATTGCGCGCCGCATTCGCCATCGCCACGCCGGTTTGACTTTCGGATACGCTGCGATTTCTTCCTCCCCCTTTACCACGATTCTGGACCCTCCCGTTTTGATGTTTCACTTCGTTTATCTGCGGCTATAGTTCGTGACAATATTTTTTGATAGTAACTAGGGTCAAATTTTAACTTAAGGTGTAAAACACGTAATCTTTAAAAAAAAAACAACAACAGGAAAACAATAACGAACAACATGAAATTTTTACGAACAAAATGTGGCAGATTATGACCCATTAAAGCCACAAGATAAATGAACACCTTTTTTACCCTTAAGTTTTTTCACAAACATATATTGAATAAATCATAATATATAAAAAATTTGTTATAAAACACAACTTTAACTGTCATTTTTTATTTCTTAAAAATTATTAATTTATTAAAAATTTGCTTCAAAATAAAGATGGATAAATTCAAAATGGCGGACACAGAATGGCGAACGCACTTTGTTAAAAATTGTACACCCTTCTTAAAAATTGCGACAAAGTTTTAAAAATGTGAGAAATAATTTATGGCACTTCCCTACTGTTACTTGTGAGTTGAGACTGTTGACAAGTAACACTAGGATCAACTCATTTCTTACATTTTTAAAAATTTGTCGCAATTTTTACAACGGTGTACAATTTTTAACAAAATGCGCTCGCCATTCTGTGTCCCCCATTTTGAATTCTCGAAAACGAACATCAGATTCATCATCAGCGACCCCAAAAACCCTTAGTGACATGATTTCGCAACAATCGTAAAAATAATTCGTAAAATAATCGAATTTATCTTCAAAATCGGAAAGATATGACGATAGACAAGAAAATCGCCGTACCTTCTTCTAATTCCAGGCCTAGTTTTAGTCATTAGATTTTATTGCATAAAATTTTTTTTGTATTGCGTTAATCCGATATTGTATTGAATCATTGCACATTAATCATCAAACAGATATTATAAAATTAATCACTTTTTTTAATTTTATGATTCATTCAATATGATAATTAAGTTCCAAATTATGACATAAATTTGTACGTACCTCTTCAACTCGAAAATCTTCGATGGTTTTAAACTTGGACAAGTATTGCTTAAGGGTAGTATTAATTTGAAGGTTGCCACTGTGTTTATAATATTTGAGGAAAGCCCAAAATTTCTCTAATCCATATAATTGTCCGTTTTCGTAATCCTTGATGGTTTCCGTTTGGAAGTCTTCGTATAAATGCGGCCTGAATTTGTTCTCGAGACCATATGAATAAAACCTGAATAAACACTCGAGTCCGTAACGATAACCTTTTTCGGCATCCTCCAAGGCGATGGATTTGAATTCTCCGTACATCGATCGGTTGAAGTTCTCGCGTAAGAAGAATGACCAAAATCTGAATAAAGTGTTCATTTCGCTCGACTGTCCGCTACCCCATCGTTTTCGTTCCTTCAAACAACGTTGTCGATATTTATGATAAGCTTGTTGAGTGAAATTGTTTTCTTTTAATAAAGCATGTGATGGGTGTTGGAACGTTGGTAATGATTGAGGTATGCTACCCAAACTTGTTGCTAATTGGCTTTCATTGGGGCTAGTTCCCATACTACTACCAGCCGAAGTGGTACGAACTCGGTGCTCTTTAACATCCATAATCCATCCCACATGGTTTTCGACGGGAGGATTATTAGAATGTCTTGTTTTGCGTTTGCGGGGTGTTCTCGGATCGGGAGATTCATCCTTAACAACCGCATAAAATCTAGGAACGTTACGTTGGCTATGTTGTCTTTGATTGCGACCTCCCGTTGTCGATGATTGTTTTGCAGGTTGTTGACGTTCAACCATCACCGGTGGTGGTGGTGGTGGAACCTCAGGGTTTTGTTTTTTCGGTGCCGGCGGCGCCATCATTTCGAACACTTCTTGGGTAATCGTTCTTACGGTGCGATAACTACCACTACTGGGTCGATCAGAAGCGTCGTTCCACAAACCTTCCTCGTAATAATACAAACCGTCGTTGATTGCTTGTTCTAATTCTTCGGTCATTTTTACTCGGGTCGTCCAATCGCCCGTGCGATCATAACCCTCATGTTTTGGTACGCGAGACGATTGAGTTACTATGAGAATTTTGTTAATGTCACGATCGCTCAGTTCGTCCAAGTCATCCTCGGACCAATCCGTGGTGAACGTATTTTGACGTCCGGTTGGAACATCTTCGAGCTCTTCGTCAAAATAAAATTCGAGCTCTTCGCGTTCATTTTTTTGTTGCTCAGTTTTTTCTTTTGGATCTTTCTTTGATTTGGCTTCTTTTGTTTTTCTTTTCACCTCTTTCCAGGTATTGTCATCTAATATCTCTTGGTGATGATCGTCTATACAATAAATAATATAATGAACATTTTAAAAATTAATAATTTAAAAAATTTTACAACTCTTTGCCCAAATATGTTTTAAAGAGTTAATGAAATAAAATGGATTTATTTAACATACCAGTTGTAGCATTGGCAGTGATCGTTGTAGTTTTTTTCGGGTTTTGGCATTCCTGATTAGAATCTGTAGAATTTATATTGTCATGTGGTACGAATTCGGCGACGTCGGGGTTAAGATTTTCGACGTGCGGATCTCTAAAAGTTTTAGGCAACGGAGGAGGAGGCACCAGCTGGTCTAGGGAGAGTGGTTTGTCGTCTTCGCCTTTGTCGAGGATGGGCCACTTTTTGGGATCTTGACGAGTGCGCACTTTAAATCCTGAAGATAATTCTAATTTATCCGAACTAGCGATTGCGTCCAACACCAAAGAAATGTTGCTAGTTAGGGATTGAATTCTATGAAACGAAGCGATTAACGTAACGGGCAAGTAACCATCGGCGTCCATCTTCCTTCGCAAAAAGAAGTCCCGCATCAGATTTTCTTCGCTGAAATAATACTCGATCTGGTTCTTAACGTGAGCTTTCAATGTTGGGCTATCTAAATTGACGTAACTACTACTGTTGAAATAAAAAGTTCCCATATAAGGCGTGATGTTCACCAAGTCCATATTCAAGCCATACTTTAAAGCATAATCCGAAGTGTATTCCGATGAATTTTCGGCATTTCCATGCGAACCTCTCGCGTTTCTATTAAAAGCGGTTCGTCGTCCACCGCGATTTCGATGGCCTCTGCCTCGGGGAGCAGCCGACGCTGGTCTTGATTGTCTACCGTTACCCTGATGATGACCACCGCCGTTGATTTCCGCTCTCCAATCTTTATCGCCATCGCTAACCGTGGATTGCGTATCAAAGCGTTCCTTATGTCTTGAAGAGTCCGGGTCTTTTTTGCCCTTCCTCAACTCGATGTCCAACGGAACCCATTTGTGCTTCGAGTTTTTCTTCTTCTTTTCGGTCTCAACCTCTTCTTGTTCCGCCGGATCGGTGGTGTCTCCATCATTAGAAGAGGATTGCTTTGAGCTGCTTTGAGGAGGATCTGGCACCACTTGATTAACAGGCGATTTACGCTACGAACAAAAAAATGATTGGAAATTTATTTATTATTTTCCATAACTTGATAACGAGTGTTAAATACGAAGAGTGTCGTTGCTCTAAAAACTTTTACTTTCGCTCCAGACAACAACGTGATATAATAACCCAATTATTTTGAAAATAGACCGTGCGCGCAGCTGCTGCTGAGATAGAACGACGTTTTAAACTGACAAAATATGTATTATAAATAGAATACACTTACCTCTGTGGAGTGGTCGCCGAGCGTGGGCCAATCGCCGCCATATGCGAAATCACTAACCTGAAAGAAAACGGCGGACATGTTACGTATGCGAAAAAGAAGTAAAAAAATTAAAAAATTAATTAATTATCAGTTTTTGATCGGCGTCGCGAAAAGCATTGTGAATGGGCCATAAAAGGCCGTAATAAATCGCGGGGATAAGCAGCTCCCGAACGGACCGTTCTTATCGCCCGTTCAATCTGTGCGCGCAGCGGTCGAGGTTGTTCCTGTAGAAACAGTTTTATCAGCGACTTGCGACTAACGCCTTTACACCAATTACACAAATATGCAGATAAGTCGCGTATACGTATCGGCGCACGCTTAGGAACAAACAGAACTAAACTAATCGACTATGTAGCGATAAAGACCGCTTTAGGCTACTGTCACACCATCGATTTTTAATTTTCATTTTGTTAAAAAAAAATTATCCCAGCGATGACTCAACAAAACTTCGTTAATACCTAGAAACAACGTTTTGCTTTTAAAATATTTCTTAAAAAGTTAAAAAAAAAAAACAAATTTTTAAATAATTTTTAAAATTCCACCTGTACATACTCAACACGATGTTTAAATGATTCTTATAAGTCATCATACACTCATAACATTACAAAATATATCAACTCTAATCAAACATAACGTAACAAAAAATATAATAATATTTGCGATAAATCGTTATCGTTGAATAATTTAAAAACCCTCGATACAATCAAGAAATGACAATAGACGTGTCCGTTTCTGAACGTTCTAACAGATGTTCGAATTGAAAATGAAAACGTGTACGTGAAACGTTTACGGTTGAAAAGCGAACGTAAAAGATACCTTTTTGGCCATTCTTTGGTAGAGAGTTGATAGCTCAACAGGACATCACAAGAAAAAAATTGGAAATTCGCTACCTGCACTGACCGCGCGAGTTTGTGCACTGCGACACGGCTCTCTTTATTTATCAGCTAAGTTACCCACGTGTTCGACAATAGACTTGCGTTGTAATGTGCGTTTAAAAACGTTAAGGAAAAACGGTAGCGAATTCGAACTCAAACCTGAACCCGAGTACGGTGGTTTTCGATTTTTTAAATGTCAAAACGGAATTGTATCCAATATTATTGGCTGAATCGACCTTGCTGACCTAGTTCTCTACAACCGACGGCCTTGATTTCGACTCAAAAATGTTATATAATATTTGTTGACGATTCCTATATATAGGTGTCCATACTTTAGTTAACAACTTACACCCCTCAAACAAAAACTTTATTTTTAACTTGAAATAAAAAAGCAATAATCAAGTTACATAAAAATCACCGCAATCGCTAAGGTGTTAATTATTGGCAAAAGTACCAAACTAAAATTCGTTAAGTACCTACTTCATTCATTATCGCCGTACCGTATTATTTGATTGGCTTAATTCACGTAAACCATTGTTTCATTCAAATTGTTCTTGATAAGGTAAAGATTATGTTACCTATGAAAACTCCAAAAGGCAATAACAAAATAATCTTGAGGAAAAAAATTTTTGTAGATACCTATTAATTATTAAACAAAATTTTTTCTAATCTTAGTAGTTAATGTGGAATTATTTTTAATACTTCCTTAATGAATTAGCGAAATCTTACTCAAACAAAATTAGTCAAGCGGAAATTGCAACAATTAACGGATTTTAACTCGATAATAATATTTTTTTGAATATACACTGCAGTCATTTAAAAATAGATGTGGACAATTTACGTGGTTAAATTCAGATTTATTAAAATAACTCAAAAACTAAAAGTGGCATATATCACCATATATCTTATCAGTCATATTAAAAACTATATCATTCCATTTAAAATAACCTTATTATTTCGGTACGTCGTCATGGAACACCTTTATGTGTTGTACATAACGTTTTGGAATTCTCCAAGTATGAGCCTATCTTGCTTGAAATAAATAGAAAAGCAATCTCGGCCGACTTCGAAGACGTCGGCCGCCCCCGAATATTTTCAATACCAGCTCATGATACTTGAGGTTACTTCTTCCGCCTCCAAATATTTCCAATACCAGAGAATATCAGTTCATGATACTTGAGGTTACTGTTACAGTCTGTATTCTCTCGCCAATATTCCAGAAATCCTTAGAAATATTCAAAAATTAAAATAACTCAAAAACTAAAAGTGTCAGGTATCAACATGTCTTATCAAAGTCAACATATTTTTATGTGTTGAATCAGAACACTACAAAAAACTACATCATTCCATTTAAAATAACATGTTTATATTAGTATGTGGTTATGGAACACCCTGTATGTATAAAAATATTTTTCTTTTATAGTATGGCAAATTTTCTACATCTTTTCTCTAAGGAAGAACTCCTTAATGCCCTTTATCGCTTATTTGGGACATCCTGTATATGTTATACATAACGTGGTTGTTAATGAGGTTGAGTTAATATTATTTATAAAGAAAATCGTCCATTTTGAATTTTAGGGAACTGAAATTGGTCTTTGAGTCGTTGATTTGAGGTGGCAACGTAATTACGGAAATACTGGGTATTGACCTTGAAGTCTTAAAAAAGACGGTAACTTACTGGATCTGAAAAAATCAAACACAAAGCATGAAGAAATTTTGGCCAATGTGGACCCGATTTAATGAATGTCAAAAATCTCCAAATAATATATTATTATCACAGATGGAAATTTCCACTCAAAAATTGTAGAAGATGGAAAATAATGTTGAAAGTGAGATTATCACAAAAATTAATCTGATTATAAAAATACATTTTATTAAATGAAAAATTTTTTTTCTATCATTTATTTTTGTAAAGTATATTAGATGAGATAATGAAGGGTCAAACTTACTTTTATCAATTTTTTGATAAGTCGCTTATATAAGATTCCTGGCATATATCAAAAACCTAGCTAGCATGATGTACATTTAATCTACAAAGTTAAACAATGCTAAAAATTTCTATTCTTTTAATTTTTTTTATCACATTTTTCATTAAACAATGTGTTAGATAAAAAAAACATATAACATACCTTTTGTTGTTTCTTCTTATTGTTAGAATCTTTGGACTTTGTGGGTCCATTGGGGATTGGTTCTGATTTTTGTGTTTGTACAGTACGTTTTGCCACCACAAGTGCAGCATTTTTGTTCAACCACGGGTTGACTTTTGGCAGAGGGGCCTCAATAAACATTTTCTTCTCGGGTTCTTTATCCATATCCTTTTCGCCTTTTTCGTAGGAAACTTCTCGTTTCATGTCACGGGGGTGGTCTTTTTCCTTGAAGCCATTTACATTTTTGTGGGGTGCATCTTTGTTGCGATCACGTCTTTGCCTTTCATTTTTACGCTCGCGCCTACTGTGGCTTACCACTTGAGTAAAAGTACCTTCTTGATCATCTTGTGCTGTTGGGACTGTTTGGGGTTCCACAGGTTGAGTGATTGGAGGGGGCTGTGGGTCTTTTGGGGGCTCATCATCTATAATTTCTTTATTTTCGGTTGATTTTACAGCACGTGCGTAAGAAGGACCCTGACCGGATGGTTCAGAGTTGGGTAGTAATTTTGAGGTTGGATTTTGTGAAGGTGTAACATGTGAAGCCATAGTCAATTAAAATTTAACTATAAGTACTTTAAACCGTTGTACTTCGGGTTATGTTAAAATTTCTTCGTTCGGTTAAACGTAATATTCACAATATGGATAGTAACCATGATCGACTTAAAAACGCATGGCCATAAGTTTCAAAAGCATACCTCGGACAGTTACACGGCTTTTTCGTTGGGATTTTTCGCAAATTATTTACGTAATCAGGTCGCGAATGACTGGACACACTAAAGAAGTCAATTAATAACAAACGTTTCACAAATAATGTTCGAATAAATTGTTAACAATCACCAAAGCAGTCACAATAACTTATCACATATTCCTCGATCCAAATCTAACCTTAGTAGGGAATTTTACCGATTGCACTAACCAAAACAAGCACATGTTACGGCGAACCAAAGAACTAAATCATAAAGCGCCAAAATTCAAACTTACCAACTTTCTTCCAATTTTTATTAACATTGCAAGTAATAAACAACAACTTTAATCAATTCAGATCATCGAAACCACTATTTAAACTGGGAACTACAAATTTGTTTTCATAATAAAACACAAACATCAACAAAAATATTATTCTAATATTATCAAATTGTAACCACAATTATTCTAAACATCATCATAAGCAAAAACGTAAATAATGTTGTAACCTAGCTGCATTAACTAACATATTATTATGTTTATAATAATTTACTGAGGTTGCATTTTAATATCATATTTTTTTTATTTTCCATTTTTTGTTCTCAACTTAGGCAACTTAAATAACTATACTTGAAAACATTAATCATTAATTATGTATCAAATCTTTACTAAATAAGCTACCCTAAGATACCTTGCTTGAAATTTATGCATAAAATAATCTCGGCCGACTTCGAAGACGTCGGCCGCCCCAAGTATCATGAACAACATAATAGTTCTATCCTGCTTGAAATTTATAGAAACTATAATCTCGGCCGACTTCGAAGACGTCGGCCGCCCTAAGTATTGTTCATGATACTTGAGGCGGCCGACGTCTTCGAAGTCGGCCGAGATTACCTCTAATATCACGAATATACCTTGGGGCGGCCGACGTCTTCGAAGTCGGCCGAGATTATTTCCTATATGACGAAGAATACTTGGGGCGGCCGACATCTTCAAAATCGGCCGAGATTATTTCATCCATAAATTTCAAGCAGGTTAAGAGAAAACATCTCGGCTGACTTCGAAGATGTCGGCCGCGCCAAGTATTATGAACAATACAAGACGTTTACCCTGCTTGAAATTTATGGAGAAAATAATCTCGTCTGACTTCGAAGATGTCCCAACCCAACCCAACATAACCCAACCCAACCCAACCCAAGTATCATGAAAAATACTTAGGGCGGCCGACGTCTTTGAAGTCGGCCGAGATTATTTCATCCATAAATTTCAAGCAGGATAAACTTATTGCAGTGTTCATGATACTTGGGGCGGCCGACGTCTTCGAAGTCGGCCGAGATTATTTCCCTTAACTTGTTTGAAATTATGGAAGAAATAATCTCGTCTTCGAAGTCGGCCGAGATTACTTCCTATATGACGAAGAATACTTGGGGCGGTCGACATCTTCGAAGTCGGCCGAGATTATTTCATCCATAAATTTCAAGCAGGTTAAGAGAAAACATCTCGGCTGACTTCGAATATGTCGGCCGCGCCTTAGGCAACTTAAATAACTATACTTGAAAACATTAATCATTAATTATGTATCAAATCCTTACCAAATAAGCTACCCTAAGATACCTTGCTTGAAATTTATGCATAAAATAATCTCGGCCGACTTCGAAGACGTCGGCCGCCCCAAGTATCATGAACAACATAATAGTTCTATCCTGCTTGAAATTTATAGAAACTATAATCTCGGCCGACTTCGAAGACGTCGGCCGCCCTAAGTATTGTTCATGATACTTGAGGCGGCCGACGTCTTCGAAGTCGGCCGAGATTACCTCTAATATCACGAATATACCTTGGGGCGGCCGACGTCTTCGAAGTCGGCCGAGATTACTTCTGATATCATGAACAATATGATACACCGCACTAAGTATTATTCGAAGTGATATTGTACATATTTCGAACAATACTTAGTGAGGACGACATCTTCGATGTCTGCCAAGATTACTTCTTATATCATGAACAATACTTAGTGAGACCGACATTCTCGAAGTCGGTCGAGATTACTTCTTATATCATGAACAATACTTAGTGCGGCCGACGTCTTCGAAGTCGGCCGAGATTATTTCTACCATAAACTTCAAGCAGGCAAAGACGTCAGCCGCTTCAAGTATTGGTCGTGATATAAGAAGTAATCACAACCCAATCCAACCCAACCCATGAAATCTACACTGTTTGAAGTGTAGTTTGAAGTTTTACAAGTTGCTAATGGTAACAAAAGTTGTGTCAAATTTTATTCTTAACAATATTACTCTCTTTTACTATTGCTCTCATCTGCGTAAATATCGAGAAAAATACAAAAATATGAAAATTTGATGAATTTGTAGTTTTGCAAGTTTGCTAATGGTATCATTCTGGATTCGAAATGTGAAACTAAGTCTACCCTGCTTGAAGTTTAAGGCAGAGATAATCATGGCCGACTTCGAAGACGTCGGCAGTTCCAAGTATTATTCATGATATAAGAAATAATCTCAACCCAACCCAACCGAATACAACCCAACCCAACTTATCCAAGTGCACTCTGCTTGAAGTGTTCCAGCTGGGTAGAATTGGTTGGGTTGACTTGGGTTGGGTTGAAATTATTACTTATATCACGAACAGTACCACTTGGGGCGGCCGACGTCTTCGAAGTCGGCCGAGATTATTTCTACCATAAACTTCAAGCAGGCAAAGACGTCAGCCGCTTCAAGTATTGGTCGTGATATAAGAAGTAATC